CGTGGGCTGGGGCTGGGGCTGGGGCGAGCGGGGAGCGGAGCCCTCCTAGCGACACCTCTGTACACCGCCTGCACCTGCCCTCCCTTTTGTATTTAATTTCAGTCCGTGTACTGCAAGGAAGCTGGACGCGAGGTAGGCCCTGTATTCAACTGTACTGTTATTTAAGCTGTAATAAAGCAGTTTGGCGTGAGGGACCTCCGTGTGGCTGCTGCTTTTCCCTGCGGGCGGTCTATGCTGGCCTCTGCCGTGCTTTCCCATCGCAGAGAATCCAGGAAAGCAGTGGGTCCCCACATGCACCACCACCACCACCACCACCACCACCACCACCACCACCACCACCACCCCCCCCCCCCCCCCCCCCCGCCTCCATCCAACCACACCCTGGCCACTCCGACCACCTGTCCCTACCCAGATTCCATCCCCAGGCGGCTCCTGCACTGCAGCTGGGCGTGCGCTCCGCCCTGAGCCCTCGGCACCTGCCCCAGGGCCGCCACCTCTGATGGAGACCAAATACCAAACACCGCCCAGAGCCTGTGGGTGGGTACAGGCCCACCTGCTCCTACCCGGCCACTGCGTGAGGTTAGAGGTCACCGGCCATTCTCAAGCTCAAAGGGCGGCACGTTCTCCAGAGGGGAGATTGCCCGTCTGAGGAGGCACCATGTGGGGGAGCAGGCCCTGGAGTTACCTGGGGTGTGGGTGTCACCCACGCACACTCCTCTGCCCGCTGGGTGCACTCCCAGCTGCTCCCAAAGTCTGTTCTGTGCAAATTAACACCCGCACTGCCTTCAGCTGCACCAGGCGCTCCCTGACCCCCGGGGGCCAGGGGGACCCCAGCCGCCACAGTAACCACCATGTTGGTGCTGGGGTCCGCATCTACCCCCCCCCCCCCCAGCACCTAGCAGGGCCTGGCGCTCCCCACGGAGGAGGAGCCGATGGCGTCCTTAAAGTCTCCAGTCCCCCTGACCATCACCCCTCCCCCTCCGTGTCCTCAGTCTTCCCAGAGCCCAGGCCAAACCCTGCCCCTTGGGGTCCTCACCGTGGGACCTGGGCAGGCACTCGCCGCCTCGGATTCCCAGGAAACCACCTGCTTTAGAGGACTTGGAAGAGGTCAGAGTCCCGGGGTGGGAGTGAGCAGGCGGGCTAGGCACTCGGCCTTCGGGACTCCCACTCCCACCCAGGTTGCCACCTGGAGTTGGGGGACAAAGGGGTGCCGTGCCTGCTGTGCTCACTGCCCCCCATGCTGCTCTTCCTGATTCAGGGCAGGGGCATCCCTCCCCCAGCACCTGGGGAGGAGGCAGCCCCGGGAAGTCTTGTTCCTGCTGAATGGTGAGCCTGGCATGTGCTGCCCTCCCACACACTCTGGAGCCAGCCAGCCCTCAGGAGCCCTCACAGGGGCCCAGTGGACACCCCTGGCCAGGCCTCGGGGGGGGTGAGGCGCTGCCAGGCAGGAGGCCGACCCGTCCTCGGTCTGCTGGCTGGAGGCCGGAGGGATCAATGAGGACCTCCCAGGAGCCAAGGCCCCCCCTCCTCGGGGAGCCCGTCTCCTGCCACTTCCCCTTTGGGTGCCGGGCAGCCTCTGCTCACCCTGGCATTCATCCCACCAGGTACAGCCGAGGCCAACGTCCCAGAGCTGGGAGCAGGACCCCAAGAGGAGCACCCCTTCCACTCCCTCCATCTGGGAGCCTGACTGTACCCAAAACCCAGGGTGCCCCCTCACCGAGTCCAGCTTTGGGCAGCAGCTCCAACCTGCTCCAACCCCCACCCCCACCCCCGTGGTGCAAGCTCCTGCCTCACCACCACCACCTGCCCTGCTGTGCCTCGTCATTCAACACTCAGAAAAGTGGGTCCAGGCTGAAACAGGTTTGGCTCAGTGGTAGAGCGTGAGTCTGCGGACTGAAAGGTCCCAGTTTCGATTCTGGTCAGGGGCATGTACATTGGTTGCGGGCACATCCCGGTGGGGGGTGTGCAGGAGGCAGCTGGTCGATGTTTCTAGCTCTCTATCTCCCTTCCTCCCTGTAAAAAATCAATAAAATATATTAAAAAAGAAAAGAAATGAAAAGTGTGTCCTGGCCCGCCAGCATGGCTCCGTGGTTGAGCCTCGACCTACGAACCAGGAGGCCACGTTTCCATTCCTGGGCAGGACACATGCCCTGATTGCAGTTTCGGGCTTGACCCCAGTAGAGGGTGTGCAGGAGGCAGCCGATCAGTGATTCTCATCATTGATGTTACTATCTCTCTCCCTCTCTGAAATCAATAAAAATACATTTATTTTTTTTAAAGCGTGGGTCCAGGTTTTGGGGGGCTGAAGCTTAAACAATATAGAGCCACGTTTAAGAAAAAGAATACCAAGAAACAAATACTGTTCTTTGTTAAGGTCGTCTGCAGCTCTGGCAACAGGGAGAGTAGAAAGACTCTGCTTTTCTGGACCCCTGAGCCCCTCAGAGGAGACCCCGAATACACAAAGCTCAGCCAAACTGGTCTCCCAACGCCACCCCACCTGCACCACGTGCTGCCACCGGCCCCTCCCTCCCACCACAGCCTGACCGAGCCTCTGGATTCCGCCCAAGGGACGTGACCTCGAAGGATCTTCCAGACGCCCCGAGGCACCCCTCCCAGCGTGGCCCTGAGATGGCGTGATTGCCAGTCAGGCACCCAGGGCAGAGGCAGCTGTTATCTGAAATGAGGAAGCATTTCTGCTAGGGGTGGGGGGTGGGGGGAGTTGCCGTGGTTACAGGCTTGCACCTGCACAAGTTCCCTTCAGAGAAGGACACCGGAAGGGTGACTGCCTTGTCACCTTGGTGAGAGACGCTGCCTGGACTCACGCGATGGTGCCTTCTCTGCAAACTGCCCTGTTCCGGAAGGTTCCTGGGAGGCCAGGCCTGGCGCCTGGCAGGGCCAGAGCCAGGTCCAGCCCTGGTCTTATTCTTCTCACGAGTATCTATCCCAAAACACAACACCATGGGGATCTCCAGTGGGGGCGGTGGGTGGGGACTTTGGGGAAGCAAAGTGGTTGGTTCTCAAAACAACTTGATGGGGAAGTTACACAACTTGAGAAATACCCTCCTGTTTCCCCTATTCTTGTCCCCCTTTCCACTCACCCTGGTGACCCCACTGCCCAGTGGCCCCAGGACAGCCGTGAAGCATGTCCTTTCCTGTGACCAGCGGTGTTCCGTGGACGTGGGGCCAGGAGTCCCAGCCGGAGAAGACGGACAGCAGCTGGTAGGGGGGCTGGGGAAACCTGGGTCCAGGTGGCTGCAGGGGGTCAGGGTGCTCCCTGTTGGGAGTCCTTCGCGTAGAGGAGTGATGGCTGGCACTTGGGGAGCCAGGCAGGTCACAGAATACCGTTCGCCTCCTGCGGGAACCCTGCAGCAGTGTATCCCTGACGTGTCCCTGGCACATTGTGGGGACAGGATCCCTGATGCATCAGGTGCTAACTTTCAATTCAGGAAGCCGTGGGAGAGCCCGGGGGCAGCAGCTCCACCAGAGGCTACGCGATGGGCCCTGTGGCCTGGCTCCCTCGCCTGCGCTGGCAGCCTCCGGACGCAGTGCTGTCACAGGTCTTTACCCTGAGCTCTGGCTGCCCAAACATGTTCTTTCTAAGAAAAGTCCCAGCTGGTCATCATGGAATCCTCAGTCAGAAGTGTCACCACCCATGGGGACCTGCGGTCAGCCTGCCTGGGTTTCGGTGGAGGGAAGTGAGGTGGGCTGGGGTCAAGGGGTGGGCGGCACCCTTAAGTGTGAGTGGGGACCAGGGATCATCCTCCTGTCACCAGACGGTGGCCTGGCTCGGAGTGGGTGTGCCAAGAGCTGGCTGGTAGCGTGTGGGTTCTTTTTTATTTTTATTTATTTTATTTATTTTTTATTTTTTTTTATGTGTGGGTTCTTGACTTTGTGCGGGAAAGATTTCACAGCAGAGTCAAGGGGATTGTGAGTGTTTTTAAAGTTGGGGAGGGATTGTGAGTGTGTTTATTAAAGTTGGGGACAGGGAAACAAGGAAGGACTTCGAAGAAGCAGCAATAGGAGGCGTAGGCTTCTGCTCAGCTCACTGGGAAGTCAGAGGACAGAGGGCCGCGGCGACAGCTCAAGGGGGTTAGTCCAGGAAGAGCTGCCACTGCCCATTACTCCCCGGGGTGCATGTTTCCTGGGGACCCTTAGAAGGTGCATACCTGCGGGAGGAAGGAGTGGGGGTGTGGGTGTGCCCGCCGGAGGCAGAGTGCATGCCTGAGGGTGTTTATTTCTCTTGCAGGTGGGAGTCTTGGGAAGGTCTCAGGGGAGGGGCTCTGCAGGATATTCATCAGTTTCCAGGGGCACCGTTCAGGGTCACGTCTTTGCTAACGGGTTGGTGACAGGGCAGGGCAGGGCATCAGTCACGGCAGCGGGTCCTGTGCCCACCTGGCTTTGCTGCTCTTCTGGGCCTAGAGCTGATATACAACCGAGACCTAGATGTTACCTCTCGAGAGGTGACCTGCATCTGCCCGTAAATTGCACAGTTTGTCCAGCTCTCTGCCTCAGTCTCCCCATTCTACTTGCCAAGGAATTGTCCCAGCTTTTTTTTTTTTTAATTATTAATATATATTTTGTTGATTTTTTTACAGAGAGGAAGGGAGAAGGATAGAGAGCTAGAAACATCGATGAGAGAGAAACATAGACCAGCTGCCTCCTGCACACCCCCTACTGGGGATGTGCTCGCAACCCAGGTACATGCCCTTGAGGGGAATCGAACCTGGGACCCTTCGGTCCGCAGGCTGTCGCTCTATCCACCGAGCCAAACCCGTCAGGGCTGTCCCGGCTTTTTACCCTCCAGTGTCACTCTGCGGAGGGTCAGCGTGCGGCCACCTGCGGGGCTGGTGTCCAAGGACAGCGCCCCACCTGCGAGGGGGCGGGGCGGGGCCCCGAGGGGCGGGGCCAATGAGCGGGAGGGCGGGGCCAGTGGGCGCGGTGGGGGCGGGGCCAGTGGGCGCGCTGGGTAAAGCGCGGCGCATGCGCGGGCCCGGCACGCGTGCGCACTGGCTGCGCGGAGGCAGTGCTGCTTGTTGGGCCGGCGCCGCGGTCCCCGGAGCCATGGGGTGCGATGCGGCCGCGGCGCCGGGGACCGGGTAGCGCCGACGAGCCGCTGCGGGGCAGCGGAGTCCGCGGACGGAGCCGGGCGAGGGGACGGCCCCGCAGGCGCCCGCGGCCGCGAACGGTGAGTGCGCGCCGCCCCGGGCCCCGCCCGCGCCGCCTGGGGCCGCAGGGCCGGGGGTGTGGACGCCGGAGGCGCCGCCGCCGCCCGTGGGTCCGGGAACGCCAACGCGGGGTCTCCCGGCCCCGGGCCTCGGCCCACGGCCCACGGGCACTGCCGGGCGGGACGCCGAGGGGCAGCGGGCAGTCCCTGAGGCGTTCGCCCCGGGCGCCGCCCCGGGCCCTGCGGGAGGGCCCGCTCCGCCCGGCTCCTCCGGAATAACCGGTCCCGGCGCCGGGCGGCCGCGCCTCCGCGCCGCGCCCTCGGGGAGGGGCTGGGGAGCGCGCCGCCCTTCAGGCCGCTTCCCGGGCTCCGCTCCCGCCGGGCTGACCTCTGCCCCCGCCCCCCGCCCCGCGGTCACCTGTGCCCCCGCCGCCGCCGCCGGGGCCGGAGTCCGAGCCGGCGCTCCCGGTGGCTGCGCTGGGAGCGGGCCCTCGCCGCGGCTCTGGCTCTTGTTCTTGGAACTTCCCCTGGGTTTGTGTTACCAGCACGAAACCGCGTGCGATTGGCAGGCGACGGCCCGGCCCCACCCCCCACCCCCCCACCCCCCGACCCCCCGACCCCCCGGCCACAGGGCCCCCGGCCGGCCACGCAGCGTCCCGGGGGTCCTGGGGGTGGACGTGGGGGGGGCGGTGCCCTCGTTACGCAGGAAAGAGGCGGCTCTGCGGAGCCCAGCGTCTGGGAAAAGGGGGTGTAACCTGCAGAGTGCAGAGGCGGGCGGGTGTTGATGGGGGTTGATGGCTTGTGTTGTTGTTTGTTAAACATTTTTAATGATTTCAGAGAGGAGGGGGGCGGGAGAGAGGCACAGAAACGTCAGTGATGGAGGGAATCATTGATTGGCCGCCTCCTGCACGCCCCCCATGAGGATCCAACCCGGCCCTGACCTTGGGTTCATAGGTCATCACTCAACCACTGAGCCACACCCCCCGGTGGCCTGTGCCCTTATTACCTGAAATCACCGCTTCTCTGCAGCCAGAGGGACCTGGAGGCCGGCCACCTGCCCTGCTGGCACCCTGAGGGTCTTGGGTCCTGGGTGCTGGGCCAGTGCAGGCAGCTGGTACCTGTGGTGGTGGCTGCCCATGGGCACCGACTCCCCTCCTTGCCATTCTCTGGGCTCCATGCACCAGGAGGGGTGATGGCAGTATCGGAGACGACGGGGGAAGGTTGCCTGGGTCACCGCTCCCTGCAGAGGGACCACGTGGGCGGGGCTGCCTGGGAGGGTGCCTCCTTCAGGTCCCTGATGCAGGGAGGTGTGGGTGAAGGCCGGCTCTTGCATCAGTAGAACTTCCTAAAAGGTCTTGGTGCCGGCCTCACCACATGCTTGCTGGCATTGGGCATTACTCATTGTTAGTTATTGGGGGGAGAAGAAAGACACCCCCCAACTCAGTACCAACTAGTGAGGCTGAACAGCTTCCCGTTTCTGTGACCAGATAAAGTTTCCTTGTTTATTCAGTTTCAACAAGTGTGTTTTTTGTTGTTTTAATTGATTTCGGAGAGGAAGCGGGGACACACACACACACACACACACACACACACGCGCGTGCGGGACGGGACATCAGTGATGAGGGAGAATCATCAGGTCCACACTGGGGATCGAGCCCACAGCCTGGGCCTGTGCCCTGACTGGAAACCGAACTGTGACCTCCTGGTTCGTAGGTCAAAGCTCAACCACTGAGCCAGGCAACAGACACATGTGGGAAACTCACCCTGGAATCAGATTTAGGTTGTTTGTGTGTGTTTGTGTGTGTGTGTGTGTGTGTGTGTGTGTCTCCTCACCACTTTACCTCTGAATCCTCTGTTACTGTGCTCCAGTACAGCTTTCTAATCAACTCCCCCCCCCCCCCCCCCACTCAGGAATTGTTTGTTAAAATTAGGTTCCTGCTGTCTGAACTTGGGCAGTTAGGATTTCACCTTTTCAGAACAGTTAACACCCCAAACAGACGAGTTAAATGTGCCTCCTGAGAAAAAAATTCAGTATGATCATTTTACAAAATAGTTTATTGCCTGGCCATCAAATTAGTCTTTGCAAGTAACTGTAACAGCTTCTAGATAATCTATAATAATAAAAGGGTAATATGCAAATTGACCAAACCGCTGGACCGCGGAACGACCATCCGGACAAAGCCGGCCGGGGCTGCGAGGGCCGAGCCTCGCACCAGCTCCTTGCCTGGGGCCTCGTGTGCGTGATAAAATAGACAGTTTGTAAGTACATCAGCGTGTTGTGGGCTTGGCTCCCCATTGTTTTATCAGCTGTTTGGAGATACAACTCCCGGGAAGCGGTGGAGATGGGACGGAGAGAAGCATGTGTTCCTAGCCCGCGCCCAGGGCGACCTCCCACACGGTTGGCACAGTCATGGGAGCGCCAGGAAGTGGACATGGGAAGGCTGCCTACACGGCCCCGCCCTGGCAGTGGCCACCAGTTTTACCCCGTGTGGCTGCGTGTACAGGGTGTGACTGCTCACCGCACCCTGTCCGCCCTTCCCAGCCCAGCCGGCCCCTCCCTGGCTCCGCACCACCCCCCTTCAGTGATCGCGGGGCAGCGGGTCCTTCAGACAGCGGCCCTGGAGGCTGGCTTGGCCCTCGCGTGCTGCCTCCCTCTTGGTCCATCTCAGCAGACCTCGGTGTGCCCACCCTGTCGGGAGTTAAACCCAAACCTTTGCCCACCAGTCCCCTGGCCGGCTATACCGGGCGTGTGGGCTTTGTCTGTGGACAATTTTCTCTGCGATGGATGCCCAGTGGCTGCCGAGCTGGACTGTCAGTTAGGGTTTTGTTTGTTTGTTTTTAATATATTTTATTGTTTTTTTTACAGAGAGGAAGGGAGAGGGATAGAGAACATCGATGAGAGAGAGACATCGATCAGCTGCCTCCTGCACACCACCTACTGGGGATATGCCCGCAACCAAGGTACAGGCCCTTGACCGGAATCGAACCCGGGTCCCTTCAGTCCCCAAGCCGACGCTCTAACCATTGAGCCACACCGGTTTCAGCTGTCCGTTAGTTTTTATGAGAAACTGCCAGACCGTCTTCCAGAGGCCTGCTCGCTCCGGCCCACCGGCCCCTCCCCTGCTCAGGACGGCTCGCGCCCTCTCTGGCATCCCCTGCTTTGGCGGTTCTGGTGGGTGCGTGGTCCCCTCCTGGGTGGTCTTGACTCCTCGTGGCAGCAAGGCCTGTCGTGGGCTCACTCGCCTGGACAGCCCCTGGGTGTGCTCCCCCCCTGCCTGCCGCCTCCTCGGCGTGGAGCTCACGTTGTGTCTGCGAGTTATTCGTGCCCGGAGCCCGGTCCACGCGGCTGTCTGGTGGCTGTCTCCCCGTCGAGCTTGTTTTCAGTCCTTGAACGGGTCTTCCACCGAACACATTTCTGTTGGAGTGAAATCCAGTTTATCTGCTTTCTTGCCTTTTATGGGCTGTGCTTTTTATATCACGAGTAAACAGTTCTCTCGCCCTGAGTCAGAGACGTCCCGCTTTCTTGCAGTTTCCAGTTGCTGCGGGCACCCGGCGGGACTGACGGACCCCCGGGCAGAGGTGGGTTCTGGGAGTCGGGGCGGACGGCCGCTGGCACGGCGCTGGCCTGCCGCTGGGCTCTGCTCTCCGCGGACCGTCTGCCTTCCCACACGCCTGGCCTGGCCTGTTCCCTGGCTTAGAGAGTAAGTCTTCTGTGTGTTTTCAGATGGGTTTGAGAGAGAGGAGGGAGGGAAAAGTTGGGGGGGAGAGAAACATCTATGTGAGAGCGAAACATCTGTCAGCCCCTCCTGCACGCCGGGAGCTGGGATCGAGCCGGGGACCCAGCCCGCAGCCCAGCACAAGCCCCGACCGCGGCCCGGCCCGGAGAGTGACCGGAGCGCGAGCCTCCTGCTCCGTCCTCCCGGCTCTCCCGGAAGCAGCTCCTCCGTGTCCACGGAGTCTCGTCTGGACTTCATAGAATGGACCGGACCCTCGGGGGGGCGCCTTCCCGCCCGGCCCAGGAGCATCTGCGGTTTCTCTCGTTCGGGTTTCATTGTTCTCAGCATACAAGCCTCCTCGTGGTGTTTATTTTTAATTATTTATTTTAGAGAGGCAGGAAGGAGGGAGAGCCATTTGTCGTCGTGCTTATTTCTGCTTTCTTTTGTTGCTTCTTGTGTGTGCCCTGACCAGAGATTGAACCCGCAGCCTTGGTGTGCCGGGTGGCACTGTGCCCCGCCGAGCGACCGGCCAGGGCTCTCTGCGGGTTGGTTATGTTTGCGCCTCATTGTTTTTTAAACGTATTTTTATTACTGATTTCAGAGAGAAAGAGAAACATCAGTGACGAGAGAGAATCGATTGGCTGCCTCCTGCACGCCCACACTGGCGCTTGTGTCTGAAACCTAGGCAGGTGCCCTGGGTGGGAATTGAACCATGACCTCCTGGTTCATAGGTTGATGCTCAGCCTCTGAGCCACGCCAGCCGGGCACATCTCCCTATTTTTAAAGTGATGGTCAGTGACGCCTTTTACTTCCTCCTCTGCCTGCTTTGCCTGTTGTGCCAGCCAGGACTTTGGCGTGGCACTCTGTCGGACAGAGGGGTGGGAGCAGACGCCGTTTGGAGACATTCCCTTATTCACCGCTAAGTTAGGTGTCAGCTGTCGGTTCCGTAGATCAGTGTTTCCCCAACCTTCTCTCATGATGAGAATCACCTGGTGGAGTTGTTAAAACACAGATTCCCGGATCCCAACTAAGAAGTGCTAAACTAGAATTTTTGGGAACATATAGGTAAAATTGTATACTTAAACTAGTGCTCTAAGACAGATTTTATATACAGAGTACTAAGTTAGGTATGCAATTTTACCTATATGTTCCCAAAAATTCTAGTTTAGCACTTCTTAGTTGGGATCCGGGAATCTGTGTTTTAACAACTCCACCAGGTGATTCTCATCATGAGAGAAGGTTGGGAAACACTGCCGTAGATGGTGTGCATCAAGCTCCTCCCCATTCCTCATCACAGAATTTTTGTCATAAATGGGTACTGAGTTTTGTGCATCAGTTGATGTCATCAGGTGATTTTTCCTTCTTGCCTTGCTAATGTGTTGCATTGCATGGATTGAGCCAGCCTTGCATTCCCAGAACAAACCGGTGGCGGTGGGTTACTCTTTTTGAACATGTATCGCTGCAGAGTGAGGCTGCTCTGGGCAGCATGGAGCGTGACCTGAGGGCTGGTGTGAGTCCTAGTTCCTGAAGCGCAAGCAGAAGCGGAGGCAGCGCCACCTGCGGGCGTGGCTCTAGGGCTTGTGTCCGGGCTCTCGGCCCGGCCCGGCTGTGGGCTGCGGGGGCAGGGAGTGCAGCTGGGAGACCCTGCGTTGCCTGTTGGGCAGGCGGTGGGTGGTGTCCTTTGCCCGCAGGAGCCTGCCCTCGCACTCTGTGCACTGCTGCGTGTGCGTGACTTCAGCTCTGAGCACGGGGTACAGACTCCAGCTCCCTCGTCCATTTAAGTGATAATTACCTCGAGTGAGTTACCTGTGACCGTTGCCCATGACATAAACCACATGCCCGGAAACCCTGTGATTGCAGGTGGTTACCATCGCGGTGAAGATCTCAGCGGCGTGGCCATCCCCTCGCCTTTCCTCCTCGGTCTCTCCCTCCCCGCGGTGTTTCCATTCCTTCCTGGCTCTAGGGTTACGGCCTCCGCCGGCTCGGGCAGCGGCTCGGTGGCCACAGGCCCAGCGTGTCCGTTGTCATTGACCAGCTTCCCTCTCCTCGGGGCTCAGGCTGCCCTCCCGGGTTCAGCTCCCAGCAGCGGGGGCCCTGCCTGTGCTCCGCAGGGTCTGGTGGGGGTGGGGGTGGTGGGGGGAACAGGCAGGCATTGTTCCCAGGGGCCGTGAGCTGAGTCTGCGGGTCGTGGCCTCCCGGAGCCCTTGGCCGGCTCAGGCGTGGGCCTCTGTTGGCCTCCCTCTGTGTCTGCTGTGGTGAGCAGGGCCTGGGCTGTTGGCCCCGATGCCAGCTGTGCGACCTAGCCGACCTGGCGGGGCCTGGTGCCGTCCCTGCTCCTAGTTCTGCTTCGCTGGGAGGGGACGGAGGGCAGCAGGGGAGCGGTCTGCCGTGGCGTTTGCACGCCTGCCGTGTCCCGTTTCTGCCCCGGGTGCTTCTCCTGGGCTATTACCTTCCCTGGGGCTCCCACATCACTGTCCCTGCTCTGTCATTTCCTGTTGGAGCATGCGGGCTGTCGACTGGCTCTTCGAGGCAGCAGCACGTGGGACTAGGGGGGGCCTTTTGGCTCCTCAGGGGAGCTGCCCGGGTTCAGTCCTGTGTCTGCCCACCGCACCCTGGGCGGCACCCAGGCCTGGCGGAGCGCTCACCACAGGCTGAGCCAGCCGTCCCCTGAGCGCCAGCCCCCGGCAGCAGCACGTGGGCTCAGGGGGACCCTTTGGGCCCGAGAGCCTGAGCAGAACCAGGTCAGTAGCTTCGGTTGTCGGCCGGGAGCGAGGCAGACCCCGTGGCAGGGCAGCCTCCGGCCGGCCGTGCACGGTGTGGAGCAGGGACGGGGGGAGGCGGCGCCGGGCGAAGGCCGGAGCAGGCGGTGTGGGTGCCAGGGTGCGCAGTCTGTGTCGCGCGGGCTCACCGGGGCGGCTGTAGCCTGGCAGGGGTGAGACGTTTTAAGAAACTTCAGCCAGGCTGCCGCGTTCTCATCGGCCTGTTGACAGAGTTGGTCTGTCCGTGTTCGGGTACAGTCCTTGTCACGTGTGTGCTTAGCAGATGTTTTCTGTCGCCACCACGTGACGTTCACTTTGTTAACCGTCCTGGGAAGGGTAGTGGCTTCCATTGTGATGAGGTCGGTTCTTGTAGCGCTGGGGCTTGGCGTGTTCTGTTTAAAAACCTTCGCCAAAGCCACGGCCCCGAGCCTTCCTGTGCGGCCGCCTCGGGAGGCGTCCTCTGTCCCTGGCCTGTCCGTCTCCTGTCGGCACCACACGCGGCTCAGGCCCAGCGTCCTTTCTCAGAAAGCGGCTGGTTTGCTGTGGGTTTGGGAGGGCCAGGGAGTGGGGGGGACGGAGGTAAGTGTCCCTCCAGTCCTGAGCGTGGCTGTCCTTCCCTCTGGCCTGTCTCCTCTGCATGGACTTGGCAGCCTTTCTGCTGGGGTGTGAGTGACGGAGCATCGTGACGGCTCCACACCGCGGGCAGCCAGTCCGTGTCGCAGAAGTCCCCACAAGGTCCCCTTGCAGTGCCTGAGGCGAGGTGCCTTCAGGGACCCCGTCACCTTTGACCTCCCCTGGAGGCCCAGGCTTGCCCAGAACCCTCCATTCCCCCGCCCACCACGCCCCTCGGTGCCAGCGCTGCCTCCTGGGGGAGGAACGGCGTGTCCTGGCCTGGCCGCCTGCTCCTGTGGAGGCCGGGCCGCCCGGCCTGGGTCGTCCTCCGCCGGCCTGTCCTCTGCTCCTCCTGACGTCCACGTCCGGGAGGACACCTTCAGGGCCACCACCCGGCCCCCCTCCCCCTCCAGGGAGGTCAGTGTTTGCTCCTCCCCTCCCGCCCTCTCTCATCAGTCGGGAATTTTCTCAGAAAATCACTCTCTGCCTTATCAGGCTCCCTTGGCTCCCGCCCTGAGTGGTGTGAGCTCAGCCTCCCCTCCCCCCCCGCCCGGGGCGCACGGCTGTTTGCGGGCGGTGGGCGCCGTGTCCACGCCGAGCTGTGCCCGGTGGTTAGAAGAGGCTGTGGTCACACGTCCGTCCGTCCGTCCGTCCGTCCGCCCGGGCCGTCCTGGGACGGAGCGTCTAGCCACCGCCGCTCAGTGCGTTCGCTCAGCTTTTCTGGACCGGAGGCGTTTACCTCGCGCCGCTTCTCCGGCCGCCGTGCCCGCTGGGCGCGCGTGGGCTCTCTTCCTGCCTTTGGACCCCCGGGCTCGCTGAACGGGCCTGCGGAGTCCTCACGCGCTTTGTTCTGTTAAATCAGGGATCCGCGTTCTGACCGAAGCCCTGGTTCATCGACCATGGAGATGGAGCCGGAGAAGGTCAGCGCGCGCCGGGGGCTGAGTGCGGACACGGCCTCCTACCGCTGTGCCGCCTGCCACGGGGACGAGGACCCGGCGCTGGGCCACCCCATCCCCATCCGGGGCCGCGCCAAGTCCCGCAGCCTGTCGGCCGCGCCCGCCCTGGCGAGCACCAAGGAGTTCAGGTACGGGGCCCTCGGCGCACAGCGCCGTCCTCAGCAGTGCCCACGCTGAGTGCCCACGCCTGTGCCCACGGAGGTGTGTGGCCCAGGCCCCGCTCCCGCCTGGGCTGGCGGGGCCACAGCCCACAGGTCAGCTGGACGAGTGTCCCCACTCCCCTCCCCGAGGCCAGCCGCGCGGCTCTTGCACAAGACCTTGAGCAACCGCGTGCAGAGCGGGTGCGACCAGCGGGCAGGGCGAGGTGAGGACACCTGGGACAGTAAACACCCGGCCCCGGGGAAGCTGCCAGAGTGACTGTGCCTCTGGAGCAGGGGGCGCCTGCAGGCCAGGGGCATCCTGGGAGGAGCGCCAGGTGAGGTGGAGGAGCGCACGCCTTCCCTGGCTGCGCGGGGTGTCAGGTGCTGCAGGGTTTTCTGGGTAGAAAGTTCTCGCCGTGTTGGGAGGACAGCGGAGCCTCGGCCAGGCAGCTTCTTTCAGGTGCCTTCCTCTGGTTTTGTTGACCCTCCGCACCCAGGCCCCGAGGCCAGCGTGGCTCCCGCAGCGTGGCTCCCGCAGCCGGCTCTGGGCTTGGCTCTGGGCGTGCGTCAGGCACCCTTTCTGTGCAGAGGACGGAGCCTGGCAGCGGCCGGGGCGTGTCTGCCTGTGGGTGTCAGCCAGGGAGTGAGAAGGCTCGTCCCAGCTAAACACCGACTCACAATCCACTGCAGACCCGTTTCCAGGCTCTGTCCCCGAGGCCCGCAGGGGCGGCTGCCCAGGAGGAGCCTGTTCTGTGCGGGGAGGCGGCCATGGAGCCCTGAGCTCGGCAGTCAGCGACGAGAGCACGTGGCTGGCTCCCTGTGGCTTCCTGTGGAAGGGCCTGCGGGGTCCTTGGCGGCTGGTGTGGGGGATCCCCCCTGCCTGGCTACGCGAGGTGTCCTGGTGGGGCGGGCACCGAGCACCCCGGACGTGCTGGCCCCGTGCTCGTCAGGGCCTGTGCCTGTCACCTCTCAGCTCAGGGAAGTGGGGCGCTCAGGAGCGTCGTCCTTGTTGACAGGATGGCTCGAGGGGGTGCCCGTTGGCACGTGGCTCTCAGTTCCCAGGGATGGTTTCCTGCAGCCTCGCCCCAGGCGCAGGGGAGGGCTGGTCCCACAGGCACCTGCACAGCTCAGGTTCCAGGCGGCCCGAGGTCAGGGCCTGCTCCGGGTGTGTCCTGGTTCTGAGGCTGGGCCAGGTGTGCCCGGGGTCTCCAGAGGCCGTGCTGCCTGGACAGCGTGTGCTCTCCGGTGAGCGCCGGGGCCCAGGGACAGAGCCGTCATTGGGCGGAACGTTCCCGAGGCTGCACCGCTCTGCTCTCTCCACAGGAGGACCCGCTCCCTGCACGGGCCGTGCCCCGTGACCACCTTCGGACCAAAGGCCTGTGTGCTGCAGAACCCCCAGACCATCATGTGAGTGCGGGCCTGCGGGTCCGGGGGCGCTCTGTGTGTGGGGCTCCAGGACCTTTGAGAACGTGAGGCGAATGGGCATGTACGCCCAGCTTTCCCTTGGATTTGATTTTATCTTTAATTAAAGTTCAGGAAGAGAAGGCCGTGTTTCACACTCACACATGTGGTGGGGCAAATGTTTCTCCTTTATTGGATCCTAAAGTGCAAGGCGTTGGCTTTTTCGAAAACGTGAGTTGACCTGTTTGAGGAGGTCACGCTCGCATCGCAGTGCTGTTCCTCGCTCTGGGGCAGCTGAGGGCCTGGCGCCTGCATGGCCGCTGGCCCAGGAGGCATGTGGCCCAGGAGGCGGGTTAAAGCGGCAGCCGGTGAGCGCCATCCTGTGCTCGGAGTGGCCTGTGGTCCCGTCAGGCACGTTCCGGTCCAGACTCGGCCCAGCAGGGCGTGCAGGAGGCAGCCAGCTGTTTCTCAGAAATCAATAAAACATTAAAAAAAACTATTAGAGCAGCTTTAGGTTTACAGCAAAATGGAGAGAGAGGTACATAGATTTCCCACCTGTCCCCCTTCCCCCCACGCAAATCCCCTCACCACCGACCCCTCACAGGGGTCAGGGGTCAGGGGTCAGCAGAGAGCCGGCCCGACACTCACCACCACCAGGTCCAGTGACAGCGGGTTCCTGGGTGCTGTGCGTCCTGTCGCACAGGCGTGTAGTCGTGTGTGCACCGCGATTATCACGGAGTGTCACTGGCCCCAGGTCCTGTGACTGGCTTTCAGTCGGGTTTTGCTGTAAAGGTTGAGGGCCATCTGAGTTGCTCACCGGAGGTGTGCCGTGGGCTGCACCCCGTGAACCAGTCGGCAGGAAGCCTGGGCCCGGCGGCTCTGCATGGCCTCTGGGGGGGGGGGGTGTGTCTGTGGGAGGCCTGGCGTCCTCCTGGCCATGGAGGGAGGGCGAGGGTGAGGGCCTCCCACAAAGGGCACCGCTGTCTGTCCTGGAGCAGCGCTGCCAGGACGGTGGCTCCAGGAGCTGCCGTGCGGCGGGACTGAGAGGTCAGGTCCCCCCGGGGAGGTCAGGACCAGCCAGGTGCACAGCGGGCGCTTCAGGCAGCAGGTGCCGGGGAGACAGCTTCCCAGCCAGCGCCTGCCTTCGGGGTGGGCGGGCCGAGGGAGGCCGGCCCCTCGGGGCTGCGGGCGCCTGTGGCATGGCCCCAGCGAGAGCTCCTCCCGCAGGCACATCCAGGACCCCGCCCGGCAGCGGCTGACGTGGAACAAGTCCCCCAAGAGCGTCCTTGTCATCAAGAAGGTCCGGGACGCCAGCCTGCTGCAGCCCTTCAAGGAGCTTTGCGCGTACCTGATGGAGGTGAGCCCTCGGCCCCAGCCCTTGCCGCCTGCCGCCCGCCCGCAGCCCCCGCAGCCCCTGCCGCCCATAGGCCCCGCCGCCCACAGCCCATAGGCCCCGCTGCCCGCCGCCCACAGCCCTCCCCCGCCCGCAGCCCCCGCCACCCGCCCGCAGCTCCCGCAGCCCCTGCCGCCCGTAGGCCCCGCTGCCCGCTGCCCACAGCCCTCCCTGCCCGCGGCCCCCGCCGCCCCAGGCCCCCTCGGCGGCGGCGGGCACAGCGTCCAGGGCGGAGGCAGGAGCTGCTGCACCGCGGCCTGGGCAGGGAGGGGATTCGCAGCCGCAGGGGAATTGGTCTCCGCCGGCCGCCAGGCCTCTGGGCTGACGCACCCGCTGTCCCCAGGAGAACAACATGATCGTGTACGTGGAGAAGAAGGTTCTGGAAGACCCTGCCATCTCGGGGGACGACAGCTTCGGGCCCGTGAAGAGGAAGTTCTGCACCTTCCGGGAAGGTGAGCACCCGCCTGCACAGTGCCCGGGAGCCGGCCCTCCGCCCTCACGCCTGCACAGTGCCCGGGAGCCGGCCCTCCGCCCTCACGCCTGCGCAGTGCCGGGGAGCTGGCCTCCCGCCTCCGGCTGACAGCTCTCCTGCCTTCCAGACTACGACGACATCTCCAACCAGATCGACTTCATCATCTGCCTGGGCGGCGACGGCACGCTGCTCTACGCCTCCTCGCTCTTCCAGGTGAGCCGCTGCCGCCGCTCCGCCTCCCGCCCGGGCGGCCAGGAGCTGCGGGCAGGCCAGTGCCTGCTCTGTGGTGCCTTGAACTGGGGGAGGGCCGTGGGGGGGTGACCTCCAGGGCCGGGGGTTCAGATCCCGGGGTGATCCCAGAGGGGAGGTCCACCCTGCATGCCCACCAGGGGTCAGAAGGTCAGGCCTGGAGCATGGAGAGGGCCCTCCTCCTGGCCCTGCTCACCTCAGGGGCCTCTTCACCCAGGTCGGCCCCTGTAGGCCCTGGCCCTGGGGAGCGTGTGGCCCGCTGACACGGGGACTTGGGTGGAGGGTCAGCTGGGTGACCACTTCTTCGCCTTCAGGGCAGCGTGCCCCCCGTCATGGCATTCCACCTCGGCTCACTGGGCTTCCTGACGCCCTTCAACTTCGAGAACTTTCAGACCCAAGTGACTCAGGTGATACAGGGTGAGTCGGAATGTTCTGGAACCCACAAGCAGTCTGAGCCCGGCCTCGCCTTCTCCCTTGGTTTTGGGATTTTAAAGGTGTCAGGGAACCGTAGTATTTCAAGTCAGAGACCCCTCCCCGCTCCCTGAGTCTATAGGGTGATGCTGTCCACAAAGCGGGCAGCTCTGTGCCCAGCTCCTCAGCTGGACACTCACCTGTGCCCTGTGCTGGGTGCTCCCGCCTCCTCCCCTCACCAGGGATCCCTTCCCCTTCCTCCCCCCTCCCCCTCCCCCTCTCCCCTCTGAGGTTCAGCGATTTCTACGTCTGATTGGCTCAGACGCTTTTCCTAACGTCGAGAAGTGAGAGCAGGTCCCGGGTTGAGGACACGGCGTGCTGAGTGGCAGTGGGTGGATTTTCACAAAAGACAGACGTGTTGCTCTCGTTTTGGGGGGAGAAAAGGGGGTCCCTGGTGGAGAGGGGTCTCTGCTTCCTATGGGTGTGACCCGCCCGGGTCCCTAGGGAACGCAGCTATTATTCTCCGGAGCCGGCTGAAGGTCAAGGTCGTGAAGGAGCTCAGAGGGAAGAAGATGGCCCTCCCTAACGGGGTCACTGAGAATGGGGTGCTGGCCTCGGACTGGGACACGGAGGCCGGGAAGCAGGTCATGCAGTACCAGGTCTGTGGACACGTCCCTCAGCTGGTCCTCAACGTCTTCTGGCCTCGGGGAGGGGTGGGGGGCTTTGGTTGGACCCCAAGGGGAGTCCCCCCTCAGGGCCTTCCAGACGGCCCAAGGAGCGGCACCGGCCTGCGGGACAGACCCCCGGGCGCTGCTCCGCCTCAGTGAGCGGCCTCGGCCCCCAGGTCCTGAACGAAGTGGTGATTGACCGAGGCCCCTCCTCCTACCTGTCCAACGTGGACGTCTACCTGGACGGGCACCTCATCACCACGGTGCAGGGCGACGGTACGTGGCCGGGCTGCGGTGGGCATCGGGTGCCGTGCGGGTGGGCAGGGAGCGTGACCTGCGCTGTTCCTCAGGCGTGATCGTCTCCACCCCGACGGGCAGCACGGCGTACGCGGTGGCGGCCGGAGCCTCCATGATCCACCCCAACGTGCCGGCCATCATGATCACGCCCATCTGTCCCCACTCGCTGTCATTCCGGCCCATCGTGGTCCCCGCAGGAGTCGAGCTCAAGGTCAGAGCCCTCGCACCCTCTCGCGGCCAGGTGGTCGCCAGGGGCTTCTGCAGCGGCCTCATGCCCCGGCACCCCCCTGTGACCCCGTTCCCCCGCGGGGGTCCCCCTTTTCTGTGCGGAAAGGGCCTCCTCCCGTCCTCACTGCCCGTTGGGCTCACACTGTGGCAGGGGCGGGTGTGGACGGCAGAGGGGCCAGGACCATGCAGAGGGTGCTGTCCCCGTGGAGGGGGCCTGCCCGCCTTGGTGGACACGGGGAGTGGCCCAGGGGAGGGCGACCAGTGTGGTCAGTGAGCTGAGCCGGGGCCTGGCCCTGGGTTCCAGCCTAGGGTGGAGGGCGGTGACCTGGGCCTGGATGGACGTCTGTCCTGTCCCAGGGCTGGTGTCGGTGGGACAGCACCTTCGCCGGAGCTGGCCTTGGCCTCTAAGAGTGCTGTGGGCCTCCAAGGCCCCGGTTGGTGCCGCCTCCAAAGCAAGGGTCTGAGGCGTCTGCTGGGCCCTGCAGATCATGCTGTCCCCAGAAGCGAGGAACACCGTGTGGGTGTCCTTTGACGGACGGAAGAGGCAGGAGATTCGCCATGGAGACAGGTGGGTGCGGAGTGAGGGCATGCCTTCTGCCCTCCTGCCAGGATGGCCTGGGGGCCCTGGGGGTCCTGGTCTCACGTGTCACATGGGGCCATGCCTGTCGCAGCCTGTCACACGCGGTAGCTGTGTGGCCCTGGGTGCTGTCGTCCCTGCCGGGAGGGATGGAGCTGCTCATACGTGGCTGCACCCGTCCCCTCTGTCTCTGTCCTCCCCTCCTGAGGGGGGTGCTGAGGGGCCAGGGCTCTGTCCCAGGACAGACAGCAGTACCCGGGGACCCTGCCAAGCGGGAGAGCCAGGTCTGAAATGGCTGCTCGCAGACAGAACGGGCCCCGCCCTCCGGAGGGGGTCCTCTGAGCGGGTGGCAGGTGCTGCTGGCGCTGGGCTCACGCACGCGGCCTTGTCTGCAGCATCAGCATCACTACCTCGTGCTACCCGCTGCCCTCCATCTGCGTGCGGGACCCCGTGAGCGACTGGTTCGAGAGCCTGGCCCAGTGTCTGCACTGGAACGTGCGCAAGCGACAGGCCCACTTCACGGACGAGGAGGGCGAGGAGGGCGAGGAGGAGGGCTAGCCTCCCGCTGCGTCAGGTGCCATGTCATCCTGTCTGTGGCCGAGCAGGCGCCCAGCACCTGCCTCTGTCAGCAGACCAGCCGTTTCTCACATTGCAAGTCTCACCTTTTTGCATTTCTATAGAAGCCAAGCGAGCGACAGCAGGCCGTCCCACAAGCTGCACGGGCTCTCGTCCCGTCAGGGAGCGTGGGTCAGCCTGTCCCAGTGAGGGGTCAGAACGCAGGCCTCCCTGTGGTGTGGAAATACACGTCTCACAGCCCGTCCTCCTTCCCCCCACATTCCCCTCACCCTGCACCTCCCCGGCCTCGGGGCCGTGTGAAGAGCACTTGGGAGGTGGGCACAGGCTGGGGCGGGGGTCCCACCTCCTCCCCGGCTTCGGTGTGACGGGGCCACAGCGAGTGTCACCCGGGAGCCTGGTGGCGGCCAGGGGGCCTCGGCCCACCCCGCAGGCAGTCTGACTCAGGCTGGTCCACAAGGCCCCGGCGAGAGGGCTCGCCCTATGTTCTCTGTGATGTATGTGGGACCCCTGTCGAGGTCTCCACGCAGGGGACTCTTTAGAAGATTGGGACAAGCGAGTGAGCGGAGGGGAGTGCTGATGCTTCATGCGGGTCCTGGGGTACAAGGACACCCCATCATTCCAGCATCGCCCGCCTCGGCCCGCTGGCTGGGCGTGTTGGCCGTGCGGGACCCAGACCTGTGGAGTCCCAGGTTGGACCCGAGGCTGGGTTTGCGTGTGGCCTTGGCCCCTCCCTCAGCAGACGCCCTCGGGGAGTCCGTTGTGAGGAACGGGGTTCTCTGAGGGGTTTCTATCTGCTCCCCTCGGAGAAGGGAAGGGCTCAGCACCCCTGGGCCTCTCGCCAGGGCCATGGTGGGCAGCGACCTCCCACTGCAGGGACGCACACCCCAGTCTGTGCTAATGAGGCGCCCAGAGCCACACGTGGCCACCTCAGCCGGGCCTCTGCCCTCAGTGCCTGTGTGGACGTGTGTTGACCGAGTGCTGTGCCCACTCTTGTCCCTGCTGCGGCTCCTCAGCATCTGGACTCAGTGGTGCTGGCACTCGGCCTGGTGTCGCACACAGAGGAGGGCTCTCACTGCCACCTGCCCACCCACGGGGGCTGGTCTGCGGTCACTGTGTAGATGGAACGCCAGCGCTGCCCCCGCCCTGAGGCAGCATGATGGGATGGTCTAGAAAGCTATGGGTTTTTGAAGTAAATTCTTAATGTTTCATATTGTTAATATCCTGAAAATTTATTAAATGTTGTTGAAAGCCTTATTACTATTTTCAGATCCTTTCAATAAACAGACTTCTTTAAAGAGTTGGGTTCAGTGACAACTTTATTTGGATCCAAGTCCCTGAGGAAGGTGGGCTGGGTCCTCTCCCGTGTGCTCTTGTCAGCCTTGCCCTGGGGCAGGGGCTGTGGGCGTGGCCGCCTGTCCCACTGGGGAGGAGCAGTAGGGGTACGGAGCCTACTGACAGGACCTGCTCCCCCCCCCCCCCAGGGGCCCCTCGGTCCTCACCAGCTCCCGTGGCTGGAACTCGGAGCGTCTGCCTCGCTCCCCTGTCCTTCCCCTGAGCTCTTGGTGGGTGGGCGGCAAGGCTTTGCCAGGATCAGTAGGCACCACAGACATGGCACAGAGCACTGGGCGGAGCCAGTGTTGTGGGGTCGAATCCTGGGTTCAAAATAAGACCACAGGAGGCTGATGATTAATTGAAAAAAAGCAGGCAAGGATTTATTGAAATATCTGGCCAGGACAGCCGCAGGTGGTCTCCACACAACTGTCCCTTTTCAAGGGTAGGCAGTTCCTTTTATTTATTTTTAAAATATATTTTATTGATTTTTTACAGAGAGGAAGGGAGAGAGATAGAGAGCCAGAAACGTCAATGAAAGAGAAACATCGACCAGCTGCCTCCTGCACATCCCCCACTGGGGATATGCCTGCAGCCAACGTACATGCCCTTGACCGGAATGGAACCCGGGACTTTTCAGTCTGAGCCAAACTGGTTTCGGCAGGCAGTTCCTTTTAAAGGTTCAAACCACAGGAATTTTCCTTTGTTCTAAATTCTTAATCCTAAAGACTACATTCTGAAGACTGGGGTCAGCCGGAGGAGTCGTAGCTAGTCACATCCTGCTGGACACTGGCATGTGGCCCTATCTTGCGATAGCCGAGAACAGGAGAGCTCAGACGTTATCTACAGTTTCTATCTCTGAAGGTTCCTGAGTCAATGGGAATTAATCTCCTGTGGTCCTGGTCCCAGGCAAGGGAAAAACTGCCTTAGCCTCCAGGTCTCCACCTGAAGGCTGAGGTAAATAGCTCCCCCCCCCCCCCCCCCCCGTGTTTAGAAGGGTTAAAATTCAAACATTGCCGCTATATTTCACCAGGACCCACCACGTGTCCCTCCGGTGTCCACCCCCCCCCTCCGCCCAGTGTCCGCTCTGCCCGTTAAATCACAGGCGAGGCTGCCCTTCGGGGGGAGCCCCCTGTGCACCCAGGCAGGTGGGGGACGAGTCGCGCCCGCCCACCTGGCGTCTCCCTGGCGAGTCCCAGCCGCCAGGCGCCCCTCTCACTCCGGGGCCGTGATCGCGGGAAACGCGGGGGAACGTTCCCGCCGTTGGGAACGCGCTTCGCTCCTGCGCTCTCCGGGGGGGGGGGCGGGCCGCGCGGACCCCGCCGGGGCCGGGGGTGCGGGCCGGGCCGTGACCTCCCTGGGTCACTTCCGGTGCGTCACTTCCGGTCCGGGCCGCCGTGGGTCCGCAGCCGCCTGCCTTCCCGGAAGGCCGCGCCCGGGCCCGTTCCGCCGGCCGGCTCCGGGCCTCCTCGGCGCCCGCAGAGGCTCGGCCCGCCCGCCCCGCGTCCGCGCCCCCAAGGCCCCGGGTCCGCGCCCCCAAGGCCCCGGGTCCGCGCCCCCAAGGCCCGGAGCCCTGACGGGAGACGCCGCGCAGCCGCGTGACAGGCCTCGCGGGCCCCGCCCCCGCCGCCCCCGGGAGCCCGGGCCCCGCCTCCGGCCTCCGGCCCCGCGGCGGGTGGAGGGTCCGGCCTGGGGCTCCCGGTGCGCGACAGCGGCCCCCGCGGCCGAGGCCCGGCGCCTGTCATCGCGCCGCTCCGGCCGGTGGGCGGCGGCCCGGACCCGCGGCGGGCGGAGCCTCCTCCTCGGCGCCGGGGCGGGGCGGCCTTCCCGGGGGCGGGCTCGGCTGCTTTCCGGTGATGGCGCCGCCCGCGCCCTGGACGGCGCCCCGGCCCAGGAGCTCCGGGCCGCGCTGGGAGCCGGTCCGAACCGCGTCCTGCGGGGCGTGTCTCCGGTGCGTGTGAGGGACGCGGGGCGCCGCGCGGCACGGCCGGCCCCGCGGCTCCGGTGCGCGCCCTCGGGCCCCGTCCTCCCCCGCGCCCCGCCGGCCTCCGCGCTCCTCCCGCCCCGGGACCCCTCCCCGGGGTGACCCCTCCTGCCCGGGTGACCCCTCCCCGCCCGCCCGGACCCCCGCTCCGCTCCGTGTGCCCTCACCTCGCGGAGGAGCGGGCACCACCCGAAACCACGGCCGGCCCCGGGGTGCCGGGCTCCGGAGGCGGAGGGCGCCCCGCGGGGTCGGGGGGAGCCCAGGTCGGCGGCGGACACGGGCGGGGCCGGGCGGGGGGAGTCGCGCGTTAACCCGGGCCCAGAGGCGGGCACGGCCCGGGGCCAGGGGCAGGCGCCGCCTCCGCCTCCGCTCCGGTCCCCGGAAGGCACGATCGCCCACGAACCCGTGGCGGTGGGTTTTATTTTTTTGCCTAAAATTTTAGAAAATGAAAAATAATGGTTGACATCCTGCCGGGCGATCTTCTGCTGGGTTTGGCTTTGGGGTTCCCAGGTGACCCCCATCCTCTGCTGGCGCAGGAGGCTCTGGCCCCCTGGCAGCTGCGCCAGGAAATAAAACCCTGTTTGGGGGCGGAGTCTGCCCCGTGGATTTAATAAGGTTTGCGGTTTTTTAAATGGAAGCATCTTACTTTACCCAAAATACTTAAACCTGCGGGAACAGCGGAGAGCAGGGCCCAACGGTATCCGACGGCACCACGCAGGCCAATCAGAGGGAATGGAAAGGTTTTTACTTAAAAAAAATTTTTTTTAATTGATTTTTTACAGAGAGGAAAGGACAGGGATACAGAGTGAGAAACATCCATCAACTGCCTCCAGCACACCCTCTACTGGGGATGTGCCATAACCAAGGTACATGCCCTTGACCGGAATCGAACCTGGGACCCTTCAGTCCGAAGGCCCACGCTCTCCACTGAGCCACACCGGTCAGGGATTCTTACATTAAAGAAACCCGTTTTCAATCTAGACCTTGGACAAGGGAGGGAAGTGGGGCGGGGGGTCAGCATATCTCACTCCCACCTCCCCACAGAGTTGGTGACGTGTGCCGGTTGGGAACCGGCTGTGCCTTTTCGATCGGAGCCGCGGGGACAGAGCGCCATGGCCTGCCTCCCTCCCCTGTGGCCGGCGTCCTCAGCCAGAACCGTGGGCGGCCTGTGCCAGCCTGCCAGGGTTTCCTCAAGTGCCTTCCTGGGTGGCGCCCAGGGTTCCGGCTGGGAAGCGGAGCTGTTTGGGATGCTCAGCGGGCCGGCGCGGGCCTGCATGGGGCAATCTGTTTAGGACGCGTTCCCAGAGGCCCACTTCCTGCACCGCAGCGGGCAGAGTCCGAGGGCAGCCGGTGCACTGACAGTCGGAGCCGGTCAGGGGCCCTCCCTGGCGATGGGGGGCATCTTGTGGGTTCTTTTTGTCGTTGGGTTTATTGGGGTGACGCTGGTGAGGAACGGTAGGCAGGTCTCGCTCCGGAGTGGGATTCTGTAACGTTCGTGTTGAGGACTTGAGCAGCGACCCTTCCCTCGGGCCACTGGCCCGCGCCTGGAGGGGTTTGGGAAATTTGGGGGATTGGCCGGCTCCAGCTGAACTTCCCTTTGGCGATGAGCGTGCCAGGACGGGACCACAGCGCGGGGCGATGTCTCCGGGTTCGAGCCCCCCTCCCTGCAGGCTCACTGGAGGCTGAGCCCCGAGGCCACCTCATTGGGTGCAGCCCCTGAATGTCATGCAGACGGCTCTGAAGGGTTCCGGGCAATGTCCCGTTCCAGTGGCCCTCTTCCCTCCCCGTCCTGCCTGGGCGCCTCCAAGGGTGGGTCCAGGAGGAGGAAGGCGACGACCCGCCCGCCCTGGCCTAGCACGGCCTCCTCACCACCGGCTTCTCGCTGGGCAGCGGCCTGTGTTCAGTCCCTGTCATTTGTGCTGTCGCCCGGGAAGGAGGGAATTCTGACCTTTGTCACTGGGACCTGGGTGGGGTGGCCAGTGCACCAGGGGCCCCAGGTCCAGCACACTCCACCAGGTTCCCAGGCAGGCTCAGTGAGTCAGGCTGGCTTTTTGTTTGTGTTTTAATATATTTTTATTGATTTCAGAGAGGGAGAGACAGCTAGAAATATCCATGATGAGAGGGAATCATGGATCGGCTGCCTCTGGCACACCCCCTACTGGGGATTGAGCCTCTCACCCCAGCAAGTGTCCTTGACCAGGAATCGAACCCAGGACCCTTCAGTCTGCAGGCCGCCGCTCTGTTCACTGAGCCGCCCTGGCTAGGGCGGCTGTCGCATCTTAAAGTTCCTTTTCCCTGTCAGCTAAGGTTGCTTCCGTCTTGCAGGGCGGGGATCGCTCCTCCCCGAGAGACGCCAGTCTCGTGGACTGAGGAAGAGCTGGCGGCAGGAGCCGGGAGGCAGCCGTGAGGGTGGCAGCACCGGTAAGTAGGGCCCCGCCTTCCACGTGACGCCCAGCACAGCGCCCACCGGAGGGCGTCGCTGTGTCCCCGAGGCCCCATCTCATTCTGTTCGAGATTTAAATGCTCCAGGCTGATTGCCCATGATGACCCTGATATCACTGATCACCCACCATCCACTCAGCTCCGCGTGTGCGTGCGTGCGTGCGTGCGTGCGTGCGTGTGTGTGTGTGTGTGTGCCTTCGTTACTCCTCCTCCCTGCTGTCCAGTGTTGGGTCGCGCTCCCCGCAGACAGCTGGGTTTGGGGGTGAGGGAGGAGATCCTGTGTCTCTCACTGGAACTGCTGGCTTATAAGGTCTGCAGATGTTTACCTCATGTCAACCTTGAATGTATGATTTTTAAACATTTATTGGTCAGAGAAGGGGGAGAGAGAAGCATTGATTTGTTGTCCCATTTATTTAAACAGTCGTTGGCTGCTTCTTGTATGCGCCCTGACCAGGGATTGAACCTGCAGCCAAGGCTTAAAGGTTTGGCACTCTAACCAACTGAGCTACCTGGCCAGCACTACACACCCTTTCTTTCTTTTTAATGTTTTTATTGATGTCAGAGAGGAAGGGAGAGGGAGAGAAACATCAATGATGAGAGAGAATCATGGACCGGCTGCTTCCTGCACACCTCACACTGGGGGTTGAGCCCGTAACCCGGGAATCGAACCATGACCTCTTGGTTCCTGGGTTGATGCTCAACCACTGAGCCATCCGGCCCAGCTACACACCATTTCTTGTGCTTATTGGCCACTTAGAGATCCTCCTGTGACACTGTGTTCGCCGCGTTTCCCGTGGCGCTGTCTGTGGGTGAGGCCTGTCACGCTGGGGCTGTGCTGTGTTCTGAGGAACGGAGTCTTCACGGGGCCGGTGGCCGTTCCTTCAGGCCTCCCTGCGTGGGCGATGCCCCTGGCCTGGCCTGCCCTGCAGGTCCACACGGGGCGTTCCACAGGGGCCTCCTGTGTCTCCCTGGGTGTCAGGATCCAACTTATTTATTTTCTGGGCCAGGTGACCGCGCTCTGAGCACCAGAGATTGTGGGACCCGCGGGCCGGGCACGCGCCCGCACTGAGAATGAGCCGGCTCCAGCCGGTTGGGCCGCTGTGGTCTCTGTCTGCCTCTGCACAGTGTGTCCTGTGACCAGGAAGTCCAGTCCCAGTTCTCCGTGGGCAGCCCTCCTCCCAGCTCCCCCGGAGGGAAGCGTCCTTATCTCTCTCCCCTGTGTACTCTGTGTCCACCTGGCAGGGCTGTACTTTGAGACTAAACATTCCTGTTATTTCTCAACTGGAGGCCCGGTGCGCGAATCCGTGTGGTCCGGCCTCCTGATCAGAATGAGGGGCTGATGGGGGGCTGATCGGGTCGGGCGGTTGGCTGGCCAGCCCCTCCCCTTGGCTGAACTCCCAGTCTAGTCCGGAGTCTGTTCAGACGGTGTGCATGTTGGCCTGTTGTTATGTAGAGTTTCCACCTGGCAGTTTCGGCATCTGTGGTGATACTTTTGCTAATCCTGACCCGAGGACATGTCTCCACTGATTTTTAGGGAGAGTGGGAGAGAGAAGGAGATACAGAGAAACATCGAGGTGAGAGAGACACATCGGTTGGTTGCCTCCTGCACATGCCCTGACCAGGGGAGGAGCCTGCAGCTGAGGTACGTGCCCTTGACCGGAATCGAACCCGGGACCCTGAAGCTGCAGACCTGGGGGTTCTCGCGGGGCATCGGGACCGCCCCCCATGTCCCGCCGTTTCCTCCGGCGTCTCCGCGGGGGTTTCTGCTGTATTCACTCAGGACGAGTGATTCTGAGGCTCTTTCCCTGCGGTGCTCGTTGCGTTGCCGTGGCGCCCACTCTGGTCCCTCTCCGGCCTCTGGCCCTGTGGGGACCCCACAGGGGCTGCGGGACTGCGTCCCCGGTGCCCTCCGGCTCTGGGCTCGGCCACAGCAGACGCAGGTTTTGCTGGCAACAGCATCAGATCAGTCAGCGGGAGGCCTGTCTCCTGCTGGTGATCTCTGCTGGGACCGCTGGTGACCGCGGCCACGCTCTGAGGGCAGAGTGCCCCCCCCCCCCCCCAATAACTGGGGACGTCCCGGGAGACGGCCCGCCCAGAGCACCCTGGTTTGTCTCAGCGGCTGTTTCACCTCCAGACGCCCCGCCTCCGTCCGGGGTTTCTGTGGCCTCTGCGCCCCCCGTCTCCCCCCCGTGGCCTGGCCCCCTCCTTGGCTCTGTCCCAGGCGCCTGGGTTCCTCCTCGCTGTCCTCCCAGGCGCCTGGGTTCCTCCCGCTGGGCCTCCGTGGGTGAGCTGGGATCTTTGATCTTCATCGGCAGAGGCCCTCAGGCCTCACCTGTGCCAGCCCTTGGCAGGTGGGGCGGGGGGGGGGGGCTCTGCTGGGGCTTGGCAGCCGTTGTGGGGCGTGGCCCAAAGCCGCACGTCCCGTCCGTGTCCCCCCACCCCTCGCCCCGGATCCCTGGGAGCCGGGTCTGCGCCTCCTGTGGGGAGTGCCAGGGCCTTCCTGGCTGAGCTTACTCCGGTGTCTCCAGGGGCTGCACCGCAGACGCCCCCCCCCCCCCCAGTCTGCTCCTGCCGTCCGCTGCGTGCGGTGGAGGGTGGCCAGGAGCCCGAGGCTGTTCAGTCGCCCACAGAAGGTTCTGGTCTCTTGTCGGGGGGCCGGGGCGGGTCACGGCGGGGCCACCTCTCTGATCTCGCCATCTCAGCGGGGGCTCTGCGCTAAGTTCCTCCTGGTTTGGGCCCTGGAGGGCCCCCCTCCGCGGGCTCCTCGCCTCGTCCCGCCCGGCGGTTTACTCCGAGGAAAACGCGGCGGTGGCAGGCTCTTCGGGTCGCTGAGGAGCGAGGACCCGAGTAGCGTCCACGCTCGGCTGAGAGACGTTCTGAGCCTCGCTGTCCTCCCAGGCGCCTGGACGAGAGCGGGAGCCGTGCGGACTTGGGGTGCGGTCCCCTCGCTGCCGGGAAGAGCGGTCCCGGGGGCCAGAGGCGGGCAGGCTGTTTGTGGGGCGGGTGTCTCCAGTGTCACGGAGAGTGACGGGGTGAGGCCGTCCTGGGCTCGCTGGGCCTGGCTCTGCTCGTGGGCATGGAAAGGCGGGTCCAGTCCCGTCCGGTCCGGTGTGACTGGGCCCCTCGGGAGCCGATGGCTGCCGTACGTGGAGGAGGGACCTGCTGCCTAAGGCTGTGGGCCCTGGTCAGCGAGGCACGGGTTGGGGGAGGCGCCCACAGTTTGGGGAGCAGGGCGGGTGTGGGGAGTGGGGCGCAGGCTGGTCAGATGTACTGAGAAGTGCGGCCACCGCCCTCGCCCGCCTCCCTGCCCGAGTTCCGGACACGGAGTGTAACTGCAGCTTGTTGTGTGAGGGAGGAAGGGCCTGTGCACCCCCTCCCCCCTCTCCCCGCCCCAGTGCTGTCCGGGCCTCCAAGTCAGGACTTGCCAGCCAGGCCTGGGCCCAGCTGGGTGGCCGCAGAGCAGCAACCGGCGGGTCTCCAGGGCCAGAGGTCCCGGAGCCACGGGCAGGGAGACTCCGGATCCTGCCTGAGCAGCCGGGCTCGGAGCCTGGCCGGGCCTGGGCCTGAGCAGCCGGTCCTCGGAACCGGTTGGGCCTGGGCCTGAGCAGCCGGGCTCGGAGCCGGGCCTGGGCCTGGGCCTGGGCCTGGGCCTGGGTCTGAGCCTGAGTAGCTGGGCTTAGAACCGGACTGGGCCTGGGCCTGGACAGCTGGGCTCGGAGCCGGGCCGGGGCCTGGGCCTGGACAGCTGGGCTCGGAGCTGGGCCGGGGCTTGGGCCTTGAGGCGGGCGGCTGTTGGAGGTTGGGTTTGGGGGACACGGGATCTGGACATGAGCGCACCCCTGCTTGCAGGTTCGCCTGAGATGAAAGCTTGTGGGGGCGGACTCGGCCGCAGGAGCCCCGTGCCCGCTGTCCAGACGAGGCGGCCGCGGACCCCAGGGCACCGCGTGGGTCCTTCCGCCTAAGGACGCCGCGGGGACACCATGGCGGCGCCGGCCAAGCCCGCGGAGCCGGCCCCCTGCCCCCAGGAGCCGCCGCGGGGGAAGCCGGCCCTCGGCTGGGGCTCCCTGCTCGGCCCCCGCAGTGAGAGGATCCTCTTGGCCAAGAGCGCCGGCACCACCGAGGAGGGCGTGCTCACCGTCACCATCACCGAGACCACAGTCATCGAGGCCGACCTGGGCGTGTGGAGCTCGCGGGCGCTGCTCTACCTCACGCTCTGGTTCTTCCTCAGCTTCTGCACCCTCTTCCTCAACAAGTACATCCTCTCGCTGCTGGAGGGCGAGCCCAGCATGCTGGGTGAGGGCGGGCGTGGAGCCGGGTGAGGGCGGGCACGGGGCTGGGTGAGGGCGGGCATGGAGCCGGGTGAGGGCGGGCAGGGCCGGGTGAGGGCGGGCACGGGGCTGGGTGAGGGTGGGCATGGAGCCGGGTGAGGGCGGGCACGGCCGGGTGAGGGTGGGCATGGAGCCGGGTGAGGGCGGGCACGGCTGGGTGAGGGCGGGCAGGGCCGGGTGAGGGCGGGCAGGGCCGAGTAGGGCAGGCATGGAGCCGGGTGAGGGCAGGCATGGAGCCGGGTGAGGGCGGGCACGGCCGGGTGAGGGCGGGCACGGGGCCGGGTGAGGGCGGGCACGGCCGGGTGAGGGCGGGCACAGGGCTGGGTGAGGGCGGGCACGGCCGGGTGAGGGCGGGCACAGGGCTGGGTGAGGGCGGGCACAGGGCCGGGTGAGGGCGGGCAGGGCCGGGTGAGGGCTGGCACGGGGCTGTGTGAGGGCGGGCACGGGGCCGGGTGAGGGCTGGCACAGGGCTGGGTGAGGGCGGGCACAGGGCTGGGTGAGGGCACAGGTGGATGGGCGGGGCCCCGGCTGCAGCTCATCACCCCCCCGCCCCCAGGCGCTGTGCAGATGCTGTCCACCACGTGCATCGGCTGCCTGAAGATCTTCGTGCCCTGCTGCCTGCACCAGCACAAGGTCCGGCTCGCCTACCCGCCCAACTTCCTCATGACCATGCTGTTCGTGGGCCTCATGAGGTGAGGCTGGCGTCGGGTGCGGGGCGTCATGTGAAATGCCTTCCCTCCCTCCCGGCGTGGCTCAGTGGGTAGAGCTTCGGCCTGTGGACCAAAGGGTCCGGTTTGGATTCCTGTCAAGGGCACCTGGTCAGGGCGTGGGCAGGAGGCAACCAATCGATGTGCTTCTCTCTGTTTTCCCCTCTCTCTTATAGTCTCCCTAAAAATCAATGGGAAATATCCTCAGGTGAGGATTAAACGTAGATATTTTAAAAATAAAATAACTAAAATAAAAGCCTTTACCATCTGGCTGGCGTAGCTCAGCGGTTGAGATCAACCCAGGAACCAAGAGGCCTCCTCTCCGATCTGGTCAGGGCACAGGCCCAGGTTGCGGGTTCCAGCCCCTGTGGGGAGTGTGCAGGAGGCAGCCGATCAGTGGTGTTACTCTCTCATGGATGGTTCTATCTTCCTATCCCTCTCCCTTCCTCTCTCTCTCTCAAAAAAATTAATAACGACAGGTTTAACAGAACAAACAAAATAAAATAAAATGCCTTTCCCATCACTGAGAGCGAGCGGCCAGCCGAGTGACGGCACCTTGTCAGGTGAGTTCCATGCAGACTCTCAGGCCTGCGTTTCGGGCAGCACTGGCCCTGGCCGTGGGCCTCGGTGCCCGGCGGTCCTTCCTGGAGCAGCCGCCCTGGGTCAGTCGTGGGTCAGGGTGAGGGGCCTCCTGCAGGGCCCGCGCTCCAGCCACCGCGGTCCCTGCAGGCGCGCGCCTCCTGAGCTGGACCCAGCGGAGCGTGCGGGGCAGGTGTGGTCGAGAGCCACCGGGACTCGCCCGTCCGACCGCCCTCCGCTTCTCCCCAGGTTCGCCACGGTGGTGCTGGGCCTGGTCAGCCTCAAGAACGTGGCGGTGTCGTTCGCCGAGACGGTGAAGAGCTCCGCCCCCATCTTCACCGTGATCATGTCCCGCATGATCCTGGGGGAGTACACGGGTGAGCGCCCCGCCCGCCACAGGGCGGCTCCGAGGACGGGGGAGGTCTGGGTGGAACTAGCAGAAGGCACACGGCGTCCCGGGTCCGGCCCTCGGTTTCACGCACCGTCCTCAGCAGAGGGCACGGGGCCCGTGGGTTCTCAGGCCGTGGGCTTGCTGGCCGGCAGCGCTGCCTGGGGAATAGCTGTGCTCCGGGCAGCGGGGCCCGGGGACGAGGCCGAGGCCGTGGCCCTGATCTGAGGCTGCGCCGCCTCTGCTGAGCAGGAAGGGCCCGGCCCTCGCCCACGCTGCCCTGACGGCAGCAGCGGAGCCTGAGGTCCCTGCTCGTGGGCGTGGTCCTCCCGTACTGAGGACTGTCTCCTTCACACCGGGGTTCAGGCGCAGAAAGAGAAGGAATAAACCTCTGGGCGTCAGACATTGAGGCGCCCCCCCCCCCCCCCCCCCCCCAGTTTCTCCTTTTAGTAGAATCCCTGGAGCCCGTCTCCCTTCCTCTCCTGTTTGCCGGTCAGGATTGTGGAGCCTGGGGGTCACCCAGGGCCTGGCATTGAGGGGGGCCTGGCATTGAGGGGGCGGGCTCTTGTGCCTCGGCCTCCCTCCAGCACAGAGACCAGGGCGCCGGCTCTGGATGAAGGCGGGGCCGGCTCTCCTGGGAAAGCAGGAAGCAGCATGGCTTCCAGAGGAGCGTTGGGGCCACACATGGTCACAGCCGGGGTCACAGGCGGGCTCCGGGGTCACAGCCAGGGTCACAGCTGGGGTCACAGCCAGGGTCACAGTCATGGTCACATCCGGGCTCTGGGGTCCAGCCGGGCTCCGGGGCCATAACCAGGGTCACAGCCGGTCCTCCTCCCAGGCCTGCTGGTCAACCTCTCCCTGGTCCCTGTCATGGGAGGCCTGGCCCTGTGCACAGCCACCGAGATGAGCTTCAACATCCTGGGCTTCTCCGCCGCGCTGTCCACCAACATCATGGACTGGTGAGTCCGGGGAGCGTGGACGGAGCTGGGGACCCCGGGTGCCGGGGGCTGCTCGCTCCTCACTGGTGACGGAGCATCAGTCAGAGCAGCTCAGTCCTCCCACGGCCCAAAGCCTGGCCGGTGCGCCTGGTGCCGCCTCTTCCTCAGTGAGGTCCCTTTTCCTCCAAGAAGGAGCTGGGGCGTGGTGGTTCGGGGCCTGGTGCTTCAGAACGCTCACAGCCACGGCGGGCTGCCCCGTGCCAGCTGCCGTGTGGCCGCGTCTGGAGTCTCACGGCTGAGTGCTGGTGAGGCCGCCCCGCAGTCAGCCAGCAGCTCAGCACCGCAGTCTCGTCGCTTGTCCTTTTGCTGAGAGAGGAGGGAACACCACCACAGGGGCGGGGCTCGGGGTCAGGGTCGCTGTCACCACCAAAGTGCGGTTTGAGGTTTTGAAGAATCCTGCTAAGAAAGTGAACACCGTTAATTCCACCTCCAACCCTCGGAGGCGGGGCCCGGCCTCTGTGGCTCCCAGAAGCACTACTGACCGACCAACCGACCGACCACCTCTTACATCGCACACCCCACAGCCTCCGTTCTGTGGCCTCCACCCCACCCCACCCCCACCCCCACCCCCAGCCTTCTAAGTCACAGGAGGTGTCTTTTTCCAGGAACCTCCCTCCGATTTCTTTTTTTCTTTAATGATATGTTTTTATTGATGTCAGAGAGGAAGAGAGAGGGAGAGAAATGAACATCACTGATGAGAATCACTGACCGCTGCCTCCTGCACGCCCCACATGTGCCTTGACGGGGAATGGAACCATGGAACCGTGACCTCCTGGTTCCCAGGTCGACGCTCAGCCACTGAACCCTGCTGGCCGTCCTCCTCACCTCCCCCCGTTTCCTGAAGGGAGCGGAGCCCACGGCTGTGCCTGGCTCCCGTCTGGGTTGTCAGTGTCTCCAGAGCCATTGTTCTGGTTCCAGGCCTGGCCGTGAGCGTTCCTGTCCACACTGAGAGCGCCTGTCCTCGCCAGGCTTCCCCTGAATCAGAACACGCACTTCCTTCCCGGACGGACACCGCCTGGCTTTCTCTTTGGCCGAGTGTGCGCGCGCGTGTGTGCGTGTGTACGCGTGTGCGTACGGTGCCCCATGTGACTGTCCCCTTCCGGAGTTCGTGAGCCTGAGCTCCTGTTCCGTTCCTGGGTGCCGGCCCGCGGCCGTGCCGGTTTGGGGGCTCTTATTGGGGGGTTGAGCTGGGTGGCCGCAGGCTGCCCATCGCTCCACTCGCCTGGGGAAGGCTGCAGGCGCCTCGTCCATTCCATTCCCCACGACATCCTGTGGACGGTAACCGCTTCTCCCCTTTGCTCCAGTTTGCAGAACGTTTTCTCAAAGAAGCTGCTCAGCGGGGACAAGTACCGGTTCTCGTAAGTGTCGCCGCGTCCAGGCCGGCCGATGCCAGACCTGCCGCTCCCCAGGCGCGGGGGCCGGGAGGAGAGCCTGCTGCCCCTGGAGGCCGAACTGGCCACCTGTCCTCCCACGGCCGGCAGTGACTCAGGACACAGTCCTCCTGTCCCCCCGGACCCTCTCCTCCTGTCCCCCCGGGAGCCTCCTGTCCCCCGGACCCTCCTGGCCCCCCGGACCCTCCTGTCCCCCAGACCCTCCTGTCCCCCCGGACCCTCCTGGCCCCCGGACCCTCCCCTCCTGTCCCCCGGACCCTCCTGGCCCCCGGACCCTCCCCTCCTGGCCCCCGGACCCTCCTGGCCCCCCGGACCCTCCTGGCCCCCGGACCCTCTCCTCCTGTCCCCCGGCCCCTCCTGTCCCCCGGACCCTCTCCTCCTGTCCCCCGGACCCTCCTGGCCCCCCGGACCCTCCTGTCCCCCGGACCCTCCTGGCCCCCTGGACCCTCCTGTCCCCCTGACCCTCTCCTCCTGTCCCCCGGACCCTCCTGTCCCCCGGACCCTCCTGTCCCCCCGGACCCTCCTGTCCCCCGGACCCTCCTGTCCTCCCAGACCCTCCTGTCCCCCGGACCCTCCTGGCCCATGGACCGTCCTGTCCCCCGGACCCTCCTGTCCCCCGGACCCTCCTGTCCCCCCCGGACCCTCCTGGCCCCCTGGACCCTCCTGTCCCTCCGGACCCTCCTGGCCCCCAGGGGCCTCCTGGCCCCCCGGAGCCTGTCGCCTGCTCGGCGCGGTGCTTCCTCGGCTCCCGGGGGTCGGGCTCAGGCGTGCTGTGCCCGCAGGGCGGCCGAGCTGCAGTTCTACACGAGTGCCGCTGCCGTGGCCATGCTGGTTCCCGCCTGGGTCTTCTTCATGGTGAGTGTGCACCCTGGGCGCCGGCCCTGGGCCTGGGTCTCAGCGCCCTGGGAGCGGGGGGGGGGGTGGGGCTCGCTCTGCTGAGGGCGCAGTGCCCCCTCCATGCCTGAGGAGGGGGACAGAGGTGGGGCCAGGCCTGGCGCTGGTCTCCGAGGCCCAGCTGCAGCTGTGGGGGTTTCCTGAGCTGCTCCTGTGACGGGTTTTAGACTGATTTAGTTTCTTTTCTTTTTTCTTTTAATATTTTAAACATTGGTTTGAGGAGAGGGGGAAAGAGAGAAGCAGCGATGTGAAAGGAATGTGGATCGGCGGCCTCCAGCCCGCTCCACACTGGGGACAGGGCCCGAAACCTGGGCGTGGTATTCGCATGTAGTGGGTGGAAGCCCTCGGAGCCCAGGCCAGTGCCCCGGCAGCCGAGCCTCCCGCAGGGGGCTCTGCGTTTACACGTTCGAGGAGCAGCCAGGCTCGGCAGCTGCACCTTTTGGCTACGTTCCCACCAGCGGTGCCCGGCAGCCCCCCTCTGCCCGGCCTCGCCAGCGTGTGCTCTGGCTCTCGTCGCATCCCGGTGGGGAGGGCCTCCCTGTGGCCGGGCTGCAGTCCCCCGTGACCGAGGGCTCTGGTCGCCACCCAGAAGGCAGGTGTCACAGCCCCTCAGCCTCGGCTCGCCCGCCCCGTGGCTGGGCATCGGGGGCGAGGTCCTTTGGTGACGGGCACGGCCTGACGGGCGTGGGCGCCGCTCTGCTCCGCACAGGACCTGCCGGTGCTCGGGCGGAGCGGGAGGAGCTTCAGCTACACGCAGGACGTGCTGCTGCTGCTGCTGCTGGACGGCGTGCTGTTCCACCTGCAGAGCGTCACGGCCTACGCCCTCATGGGCAGGATCTCCCCCGTGACCTTCAGGTAGGGCGGTCCGGAGGTGTGTGCAGCGCCGGGGGCTTGCGTTCTCACAGAAGCTCTGCAAGTGCCAGGGCTGCAGTGCCGGCCGAGCCCGGGCACGGAGGCCGGGCCGCTGCCTCTGGTGCCATTTGAAGCACACGCGTGAAGTATGTGAAGAGCTTTTGTTTTAAAATATATTTTACTGACGTCCGAGAGTAAGGGAGAGGGGGAGAGAGAACATCAGTGATGAGAGAGAATCATGGATCATCTGCCTCCTGCACGTCTCCCATTGGGGATCCAGCCTGCAACCTGGGCGTGTGCCCTGACCCAGAATCAAACCGTGTCCTCTTGGTTCCTGGGTCAGTGCTCAACCACCAGCCCCGCCCAGCTGAGCTGGAGGGTTTTAGGGAGGTTGCCAGAGTGAGTCTGGTGCCTGGAGCAGCTGGTCAGCGGCTCACCTGCCCGCCGGACCCTGTCCCCGGAGGGTGCTGTGGGCCCTGGTGGCTGTGAACCGGAAATGCATGAGCTCAATGAAAACCTGAATTCCTGCTTTGACCTACTTCCACCCACTACATGCGAATACCACGCGTGACCACGGGCTCTGGGAACCTGGAGGGTTAAAGTCTGGCTAGCTGGTTTTCACTGTTACAACTGGACTAGAGGCCAGAGGCACAAAGTTCGTGCACGGGCAGGGTCCCTAGGCCTGTGCAGCAATCGGGCCCATCAGGTTCCCTGCTCCTCTTTCCCACGGCTGCTGGTCCCCCGCCATGTTCCGTACGCCCCCTGGTGGTTAGCGCACATCATAGCAAGCGAACTCCCAAGGTGGTGATTTGCGTATTAGCCTTTTATTACATAGGATGAGTTTCATGAAAGCACAATCTCAGTGACAAATAGAAAAGAATGAGCCAGAAACTCCAGCCATGGTGGGCAGCTTGGTCACGTCACGTGGCGTGCATCGGCTGCTCTCCTGTAGCGGCCGAGCTGTCACCTTGGGACTGTCCCAGTGTGAAGGCAACAGCGGGCTGATGGCACCGCCCCTGTCATGGCCTCGGTGTTCCTGGGCGTGTATGCTGCCATGCAGGGCAGCTGTCCTCTCCGTTGGTTGTAATCTGGCTCAGCGAGGACAGTCTGTGCTCAGCAGTCACCGGGCTGGAGCCACTTGCACACACACACACACACACACACACACACACACACACACCACTCCTCTGTCTTGCAGCGTCGCCAGCACCGTGAAGCACGCCCTGTCTGTCTGGCTCAGCATTATCGTTTTTGGCAACAAAATCACCAGCCTGTCAGCCGTGGGCACCGTCCTGGTGATGGCGGGCGTGCTGCTCTACAACAAGGCCCGGCAGCACCAGCGGGAGGCCATGCAGAGCCTGGCCTCGGCCAGCTGGACGCCGGAGGACGGCACTGAGCCTCTGGTGCCCAAGGACCCCCGGCCGCACCACTGAGCGCCTGGGCCGAGGTGCACGACCGCCGTCAGCTGGGCAGGGAGGTGCGTGTGCGGCCGGTCCTGCCCCTTTCAGGGCTGCAGTCCAAACCAGCGGAATATGGGGACCCCCGACGTGGGCTCCCCGGGGCTGACCAGAGCCAGCTGCCGCTGAGCCATCGCCATGGAATGTGAAAACTGCCCCAGCAGCCCCAGGCCAGACTCGGAGGGCTGGGACCCGCTGGCCTCTGCCTGGCCCTCACTGGGCACCCAGCTCTCCCTGCAGCAGGCCCGGCGATTCCTCTGTGGGCGACACCCCCACAGAGGGGACCACTGTGAGCGCTCCCTGCTGGTGCTGAAGGAGAGATCTCAGCCCACACCAGCCAGCAGAGGCCACCATGCCCGGGGCCTGGGCACAGAGGCCAGGGAAGTCCATGCCATGGGGCCTGGCAGGGAGTGGGGAGGGGACACGGCAGGAAGGGGTCCCTGCGGCTCTGCCGGGAGCCGGGCTTGGGCATCCCTCCGGGTGGACGGCGGGCAGGGAGGTGGGAAAGGGTGCGGTGTTGGCAGTGCTGGTCTGTGTGTGGAGCAGACGGTCGTTTTGTGAAAAGGAACCACGGGCACCAACGCTCTGTGCCCAGAGCTGACCAGGGACCACGCGTGTTTGTGTCTGAGTTGGGCTGCGACTCCCAACCTGTGGGGGACGCTCCGCTGCAGGCAGTCTTCGGCTCCTCTGCGCCTTCGACCAGCGTCGCTGAGCCCGGGCTGGGCAGAAGAGCCCTCCTGGTGAGAGGTCTGGCCCTGAGTTCTAGGACTGAATTCCCCAGAAAAGGAACAGGAGGCCCTCACTCCCCGACCCGTCCCCCTCCTGCTGTTCAGGCCCCTGGTTCCCGCGGTTTCCAATGGAAATGGAACAGAGCCTCCCGGGAGGCCCGGCCTCTAGGAAACACAGCAATAATCACGTCGTGTGAAGTCCTGCCGACTTGAAGACGCCTGCCCTAAGATGAAGCCACCGCGGCCTTTACACCGCTCGGCCGTTCTGCGGGCTGACCGCGTCCGAGGACAGGCCGGGCCCGCCTGCAGGCTCTGCCTCACCGGACGCCTCTGCGACCTCCCAGGGCTCTGTCCCCTCCTCCTCTGCTCCCCGAAAACCAGCCAAGGAGGGCTCCCCACCGGCGGCCTGGGTCTGTGAGGACCAGCCTGAAAGCACTGCTTCCCGGCTCCTGCCCCCTCAGAGGCCAGCCGGGCGGGACGGGCACAGAGAAGGGCTCCCCGCAGACCCTGTCATCAGTAGACGTGGCCTCCCGCCCCAGGATCGGCAGGGACTGACGGGCCCCGCCCTCCACTCTCCGGTGGCTTTCCGCCCATCTTTAATTTCTGGGTTTTGGACCACAAACAAAATGAAGACTTTCTTAAATTATTCGTAAATGAGGCAACTTCCTGCAAAGCTGCTTTGGAGACTCCTCTGGTCGGGGCTGTGGCCGGCGTGCCCTCACTCGGGGCTGGCATTCCTTCCATTCCTCCGTTCCCCGCCACAGTCTCGGTTCCGGGCGCTGCCGGGAGTCAGCCGCAGCCGCACTCGGCCTTTGGAGTGACTGCAGACGTGATGTTTTTCACGAACTTGGTCTCCTTTTTAGTGTGTCCTCGCTGAACGGTCTCAGGTGTGCGCACCAGCGATGACCTGGGAGTCGTGGCCCATGGCCACGCCCGTGTCCGGTTGTCTGTGCCTGTGTAAACCCTGGAACCAGGCCCGCCCGTCGCTGGCTCACGCCCAGCCACACCGAGACGCGTCCAGATCTTTGGCTTTCAAAGCGTCCACTACTGAACTGCATAGAAAGCCTCGTGTTTTTAACGTCCAACAGTCATCATTCCTGCACAGCAGCGTGAGCGTTGTCTGCCTTAGGGAGCTGAGAACATCCTTGCACAACCCGAAATGTGTCTCTAATTTGAGAAAAAAATAAACACGATGAACAGTAAACAGGAAAAAATGTGCTGCCCCAAGAACGCTCCCCCGAGGAGCTGTGCCGGGCCACGCACGCAACGCTTCTCCCAAAGCCAGTGGCGTCTGCTTCCTGCAGACGGTCACACAGCCCGGCCCGCGGTGGTGGGCCCAGAGCCCGGCTCTTTACGTCTGTCCAGCTGATGTGCTTCCCCAGGCTTGGAAGTACCCTCCCAGTTTCCCCAGGCTGGAAAGACGAAGACTGTCACTACAGATGGAATCCTCTTCTCTGCTTTTGCCTTTGACCAACGTTCTCTCCCAGAGCATGTCCGTGCGTGGGGACCCCTCCGCTCTCTTAGTCTGAGGCGTCTGTTTCCAGAACGGGCGAGGAGCCAAGAGCAGACGGATCAGCTGCTCCCCTGGCAGCCAGGACAGAAAACCTTCAGGCGGCTGGCTCCGATTCTGAGTGATGGCCCCAGGACCCAAGCCCAGATGTCCAAATTGGGTTACAGACTGTTCTAACTGGCAAAGTCTTATGTTTGTCTGGGTTTTGTCCTCCCCCATCCCCCACCCCCCACCGTCCGTCTTCATTTGAGGAAAGCTACCGTTCGCAGCTCTGCTGTTTGGAGACTTCACTGCTGTCTGAGTTGAGTCTGAACCCGCCCAGGGTGTTGTGGGCCCCACGCTGGGGGGGCTGGTCAGGTTTTCCCACACTGGGAACGAGCATCAACTAAAAACCGTCCACGTCAGGGCCAGGTCCTCTGTTTTCTGCCAAATGAGCTGTGGAGTCCGGCCCAGGAGCCCACAGTGCTCTGTACGCCGCCTGTTTCAGTGTTCATGGTCCCAAACGGAAATGGTTGTAGTGGAATCACTGTCTATCCACCTGTGGTAACGTTCACTCTGTGGTGCCCCCTGTCCTTTGTCTTCGTGGAGCCGCCCCCGCAGCCACACTCACGTTCTGCAGAGTGAAATAAAGGCTCCGTCCTTGCCGTCTGTGTGGTTACTGCGAGTCCAGGCTGCCCATGGCCAAGGGTGGCATCTTGCTGCAGGCGCCAGTTTGCAGTGCGAGCAGAGTGAAAAAATGGCTTCCTGTCACCAAGAACTCAGGAAGTGAAATAGCTGCCAGGTATAGAAGCTAAACATTTCCTTCTGAGAGAGAAAATAACCCCAATTCGGGACTTGCAAAGCCCCCGCAGGCGACTCGAAGCAGCAGTGGGGCTTGGGGCCATGGCCTGGGCACAGCACTCTGCTGGCCTTGCTTTCTTTTTTTAAAATTGTTGAGTGTTCTAGATGCCCCCCATTTCCTGCCCCCCCCAAAAGTATTTTTTTATTTTCAGAGAGGAAGGGAGGAGAGAGAGAAACATCCATGATAAGCTGCCTCCTGCAAGCCCCCTGGTGAGGAGCGGAATGGTGACCACCTTAGCTTGATGTTCAGCCACTGAGCTACACAGGCCGTCCTGCCCCCTTTATATATAGGTGAACTAGAGGCCCGGTGCATGAATTCGTGCACGGGTGAGGACCCTTGTCCTGGTCAGCAATTGGGGCTCATAGGGCCGGTCTTACCCACTCCCTATTGGGGCTGATAAGTGCTGGCTAATGGGGGGAGGGACCACAAGAGGTTGGCCAGCCATGGGAAGTTGGCTGTGGGAGCACACTGACCACCAGGGGGCACTCCTGCATTGAGCACCTGCTCCCTGGTGGTCAGTGGGCATCAGCAGCTGGTCTTCATGGTCTCTTAGGCTTTTACATATATATACATATACATACATATATACATATTATTTCCTAGAGGAAGGGAGGAGAGAGAGAAACATCGATGATGGGCTTCCTCCCGCACACCCCACACTGGAGATTGAGCCAGCAACCCCATATGTGCCTTTGACCGAAATTGAACCTGGGACTCTGGTCCATAGGCCGATGCTCTACCCACGGAGTCAAACCGACCAGGGCTGTCCACCCCCCCACCCCACCCTGTCCTTTTTTAAAATCGCTTTTTGAAGAGAGAGACAGAAACACTGCACCTGCCCCGGAATCCAACCCGTGACCACCTTACCCCCGACCCCGCCTGCAGAGCTCTTCCCTCCAACCACTGACCGCCCAGCGGGGCCCGGTCCACGCCCAGCCCAGCCGCGGGCAGGGCAAGAGCCCGCCAGGGGGCGCCAGCTCCGCCGCTCGTGTCATCGTCCCGCGCCGACGCCGGAAGTGACGCACAGAGACCTCTTTCCGGCCGGAACCGGCTGCTCTGGTTTCCCCGGACGTCATCACCCTGCGCCGACGCCGGAAGTAGCGACGCTCGGGGCGCGCGCCGGGCGCAGTTTCTCCTCAGGCTCCGGACCGGCAGCGGCGGCGGCGCAGGGGTGAGTAGCGGCCGCTCCCGAGCTCTCGAGCCGGGCGGGCGACGTCCCCGCTCCCTCCGCCCGCCCGCCCGCCCGTCCGCGTGGCCTCGCGATCGCGGCAGCGAGGGCATCACGCTCCCGGGTCCGACACCGCGGACCCTCCCCCGGGCAGCGCGGGGATCCGCGGAACCGCAGGCCGCCGTCCGGGGCGGGAGCCGCGCTCGCCCAGGGCCCGTCCTGCACCGGGAGGCCCGCGGGCCGCTCCGCCGGACCCGCACCCGGACCCGGACCCGGACCCGGGAGCCGGGTTGGCGGGAAGGCGCCGCCGGCGGGCCCCGCCCCGGGCCTGACGGCTCCCCTCCGCCGGCAGTGGCTTCACTCCAATGGGTGATGAAAAGGACTCTTGGAAAGTGAAGACCTTAGATGAGATTCTCCAGGAGAAGAAGCGACGGAAGGAGCAGGAGGAGAAGGCAGAGATCAAGCGCTTAAAAAACGTAAGCCATGTTTTTTAAGTCCGGGGTTTCCTCCGAGGAGGTTTAATGTCTGTGCCCTCGTTTCTCCACTAGAACAGCGCTCCCGCGGTGACGCTTTGTCCTTCCAAATGTCGCAGGTGAGCCGCCTCTCCCTGGAATTAACAAGCTCAGACCCGCTGCGTGGAGGGCAGAGCGTAACCCGCTAAGCTGTGTGTGGAGGGGCCACGCGCAGGAGAGTCCCCGCGAGATCGCCCGCGCAATGGGACTGGCTTTTCTCCTTAATCCGCACCGCTGACCCCTCCCCGGGCAGCAGGGCTGGTTGCCTGGCCCTCACTCCCCGTGCTTGGCGGCTTCCCGGGTTTGCACAGTAACATCCTCAAGCCCCGGGGTGCGGAGGGGCATCGGGCGCGAGAAGGGGCATCCGGGCTCTGCGCGGACCCAGTGCTTCCTGCGCCCTGCGGCCCGATGGGCCCTGAGCAGCCGGGTCCCTGACACAGAGGCTGATGCCCCTTCTTATGCGCCCGTTTTAAACGCTCCCCGCGGGCTCTGGGCTACAGAGAGTCGTGGTTTTCATGTCTTGGGGCTTGAGCGGGAGTCTCTCGGTGTTTTGAGTATAAAACCTGAGTGGTACTTGTAGGTGAAGTTCCAGTCCGAGTGTGTCGTGGGAGGTGGGTTGGGGCTGGCGGCAGGCGGACTGTCACGCACCGGCCGCCCTTGCCTGTGAGGGACAGGGCGCTCTCCTTGCTCCACAGTCTGATGACCGGGACTCCAAGCGGGATTCCCTTGAGGAGGGGGAGCTGAGGGACCACCGCATGGAGATCACCATCAGGAACTCGCCCTACCGGAGGGAGGACTCCATGGAGGACAGGTGAGCGCCCTCTGGGCTGGGGGGCCTTCTCAGGGACCTGAGTTCACCGTGGAAACGGGCTCTGGGGTGGTGTCCGCTTCCGCTGCCGCACCCCTTTCTTGCGGGAGGCTGAGTGCTTCTCTGCGTTCACACAGGCAGGCGCTGCCTGAGGTCTGCAGGGCAGCGAGCAGCGGCGGGTGGGAGAGAAGGCCCCTGGTGTGTTCTCCCGCTGCTGCTCCGGCTCCTGGGCCACTCTCCTTGCTAGGTCCTTCTCTGATCCCTTTGGTGATTGGAGGCAACACGACCAGGAAAGAAGGTAGAAAGGCAAAGGCTGTGACTTCTCCCCAGATTGTGGTCATTAGGTGGTTGAAGATACTGTTCAATGACTTTTGGTTTGATTAAAACTGGGGTCTTTTTAAAAAACAGCTTTGTTGGGGTATAAATGACAAAATGAACTGCACATATTTAAAACACGCAATGCGGCAGTTTTACACGCGTGGAGTCTGCTTCCACAGTCAGATAAGGAACTTGTCCATCACCCGCCAGCGTTTCCTCAGGCTTTGTCCGTGTGCCACAGTGAGTTCTCACTTCTCGGAGGAGTCCATTCAGTTTAAGTCTTGACATAAGTGTCTTCGTTAACGTAATCTTTAAATGGTGGTTCCTATTCCACTTTATCCATCATATGATCTCTGCATTCTGTGTGGGAGACACTGCCTTCTGTGTGGGAGGCTCTCTGCGAGGTCCCGCGTGACGCGCTGCTGTCTCGTTGCAGAGGCGAGGAGGATGACTCCTTGGCTATCAAGCCGCCGCAGCAGATGTCCCGGAAGGAGAAGGCTCATCACAGGAAGGACGAGAAGAGGAAAGAGAAACGTAGGCATCGCAGTCACTCGGCAGAAGGCGGTACAGAGCACTCGTTTTCTTTGGTGTCTGTTCACGGGAGTCTGCCTCCTAGTTTGTATGTAGCCTCCTGCTCAGGACAGTGGGAAGAGCAGAAGAGAAAGTGAAATTCTAGCTAAATCACAAGTTTGCTGTGAATCGTTCTGAATGGCTATTTCTTTTCCCTGTGGCCGTTCTTTTTCCCGGCAGGACATTGCTTCGTGGTAGTCTACATATAAAACCGTCTTAATTCGCAGTGTAGGGGAAACCACGCTGTCCAGTGCTGAATGGCTGAAGCTGAAGGCTCGGGCCTTAAAAAGCCCAGACAAGGGCTTTGCTGTCACACCAACACCGAGAGCTGCCGAGGGCCGAGGGCCGAGGGCCGAGGAGGGCGGCCTGGCAGGGCTTAGGGCTCACTCTTCACGTGCAGCTGAGGAGGGTTTTGTAACTCTGTGCTTTGTGAATGGCGACTTCTTAAACTGTGGAAGTAATATACAGTCTAATCGTAGTTTATTCAATACAGAAAATGTTAACAATACAGTGGAACCTTGTTTCTCCAACGTCTCTCATCTCAAATTATTCGCTTCTCAACCTGACAGCCCTTTCATGTGAGCCTGTGTGGTCTCCCAGGTGACAGAGGAGAGACTCTGTGAACATGGGTTAGTTTACACTGTTATCATCTCAGGATATTGTGCTGTGAACGTTTGTGTGGCTTTTTGCTTATGCTGCTGCTTATAGTTGTTAAATTTTTTTTTCAAATATATATTTTATTGATTTTTTACGGAGAGGAAGGGAGAGAAATAGTTAGAAACATCGATGAGAGAGTCATCGATCAGTTGCCTCCTGCACACCCCCTACTGGGGACTGCCTGCAACAAAGGTACAGGCCCTTGACCGGAATCAAACCTGGGACCCTTCAGTCCGCAGGCGGACGCTCTATCCACTGAGCCAAACCCGTTTCGGCAGTTGTTATGTTTTTTTTACTGTACATTTTCTTTCCTTTTTGTTAAACTTTTATTTATATTTTACATCCTTGTTTTTAGATTTTTTATAGATAAACAGTACAATAGACATGTATTGCATATAAGAAAGGTTAAAACAGAATCATTTGGGGGCCTGGAACGAATTAATTAAATTTACATGATTTCTAATGGGAAAAAATGATTGGGTTTTCAAGCAGCCTTCCAGAATGAATGATTGAATGAATAAGTTCAAGAAACCAGGTTCCACTGTATTAATTAATCCCAATCATTAGTTATTTTTTCCTTGCTTTATATTTCCACATAAGTATTAGCAAGTTATGTTTCTTCATGTAACCGCTCTTGTTCTCCTCTCTGTCTCTCCCCCTCTTTGTCTCTCCCCATCACCCTTCCTCTTCCCTTTTCCCCCTCTCTCTCCTTCTGCGCTCTCCCTCTCTCCCCCTTTCTCCCTCCCTCCTCCCTCTCCTCTGTGTTCCCCTCTCCCTCCTCTCTCTCCCTCCCCCCTTCTTTCCCTCTCTCTCTCTCTCTCTCTCTCTCTCTCTCTCTCTCTCTCGCTCACTCGCTCTCGTTAGGCAAGCATGCCAGAGTGAAGGAGAAGGAGAGAGAGCATGAGCGCCGGAAGCGGCACCGGGAAGAGCAGGACAAAGCTCGCCGGGAGTGGGAGAGGCAGAAGCGGCGGGAGATGGCACGAGAGCATTCCCGGAGAGAGAGGTAATGAATGGGCTGTGAGGGCTGTCGGTGCTGGTGATGGTCAGCGTCCCATCCAAGCAGGGAAAACAGCACCTAGAACAGGCTTTTGCCACATGGGGCGTGACAGGCCAGGGCCCAGGAGATGGGGGTGTGGACTGGCCCCTGCATCGAGGTCCTTTCCAGAGAGCTCTGGGAGGCGGCTGCCGTGAGGAAGGAAGCGGGGGGTGGGCTTGCAGCCCGGCTGAGGTGTGTGCGAAGAGCCTGGCTGAGGGGAAGCTGAGGCCGGAGGTGAAGGTCTGAGGCCACAGCGAGGCGGCGCGGCCCTCACCGGTCGGTGCGCGGGCAGCATGTGAAGCATCGTGTTGGCTGCGTCGTGCTGGTTGTCCAGTGTGGGCTGATCGTACAGCGTGCAGACCCCAGGCGCCAGGCTTAAAAATAGAAGGAACATGGACAACAGCGGCGGCTACATTGCAAGGGACACCGAGGCCACAGATTTAAACGAAAGCGACAACTGAGAGGACAAGTTAGAGGCCAGAGTTGCTACATCATCATCTGAAATGTCTACTCTCAACAGAATGTTTGAGATGACACGGAAGTCAGAAAGCACGACTCCTGTTAAGGAAGAACGCGCCGGTAGAAACTGTCCAGATGTAGCCGGGTTGGCTTCAGAGAGAGGAAGCTGGAGGGGACGGCGGAATGGCGAGCATCGAGCTCCGAGGGGCGGAGCCTCAGGAGCCGCAGAACGGTCCAGGTGACGCCACGGGGAGTGGAGGGCGAGGATGGTTTGCACACAACCCTGAACACTTCCAGATTTGTTGAGAATCATCTAGATTTCCAAAAAGACAGCGAACCCCCAAGCACAGAAAGACGAGTCCATCTGGCGAGAGCCGGTGGGAGGTCTTGAGGCAGCAGGAGAGACGCGGTCTCCACAGCAGAGCTGTGGTCCCCGGTGGCTGGAGGCCAGAGGCGCAGCCTGCGTGCTCACACAGAACTCGGCAGGGACTGTGTCCCACAGAACGGCTGTCCAGCAGGTGCCCGTGGACGTGGACCCCACTTCAGCAGGACCTGCCTTACGAGAGACTCGGAGACCTTCAGCCGAACGGAAGTGACCCTGTGCGGCATCCAGTCCACGGGAGAAAAGACAAGCTCTGGGAGCGGTGCGAGTGGGTTAACGGAAAGGAGCCTGCTCTCCTGCAGAAGACGCGGATTGTAGAACAAGTGATCCCAGACGCTTGTCAGTGCAGCATGTGACAGCACAGGCTGCCCAGAGGAGCAGGGAATGGACTTAGCGATGATCTCAGAGAGCTCTCACAGGCGCGAGGAGGAAGAGCAGAATCACAGTGGGGCTGAAGGCCCTTAAGTCCAAGGCAGGGGAGCAGAGGAACGAAAGAAGACGTAGAGGAAATGAGGAGTGGAAAACACGTCTAGCCAGGTCCGTGGTTCTGTTCGCGGGGAGAAGGTCTCTTACCCTGGACAACGGGGAGATTGTCAGGAAAGTGAGGCCGGCCACGTGCTGTCGGTAAGGAACGCCTCAGGGTCAGAGCGAACACTGGTTGAAGGTAAAGGCTGATGAAAGGCACGCTGTGCAGACAGCACCTCGGAGAGCTGGAGCGGCTTCCTGATGACGGAACAGAGGCCAAGACCAGGGCTGCCCAGGGGGCTTCAGATAGCACGCCGCCCACGACCATCAGGGCAGAGGTGGGGCCGGTGAATCTCGCGCACCTGTGAGCCCAGAGGCATAAAGCCGACAGCAGCTGGGCACCATTGGAAATGTCTCTGCTCACCATAGGACAAGGGGAGAAAATTAAGGTCATGGAGTTTTGGAAAATACTGCCAACCAGCCCAATCTAACACGTGCTCAGCATCCCACCCACAGCTGCTGAAGACATCACTCCTAGAGCTCATGGGACGTTTTCTGACAGGTCGTCTGCGAGGCTGCACAACAGACTGGGGACTTGGGAGAAGTGAAATCATACAGAGTGCCCTCTCACCACGCAGAAATTAAGGTGGATGTCAGCAATGAAGGGAAGTCCCCAAATGTTTGGAAATCCAACAGCCATTTCTGAATAACCTGTGGCCCAAAGAAATTATTAAAAAATAGAACCTGTTCTCAGGGGAAACAAAGCCGTGTCAGAATCACGGGCGCGGCTGGAGCTGCCTCTTTAGGCTCTGATGTCGGGACAGGACGGTGTCCACTCAGTCCCAGAGCGTCCGCCTCGGAAACGAGGGCAGAGCAGCAGCGGAGAGGCCCGGGAAAGCCGAGCAGACGGTGTGGGGGGCCTGGGGCGGTGGTGACGTGATGGCTGCACAATTTCATAAATTTGTGAAAGTGTGGGTTCAGTGGTTGAGTTACATGTAAATCCTACCTCAGCTTTACCTCGAACTGGGCGGGGCCCAGACACCTGGAGCCCGGTCCCTGGCCCAGCACAGGGCGAAGCCGCCAGGCAGCGTGGTCCAGGGCTGGCGGCCACGGGCCTCAGCTGTCCTCGCCGTGTTTTGCTTATGCTCGTGTTTGTGGGTGTCGGATGGTTCGTGTTTATGAAGATGAGTCGGCGTTCCGTGTGTTGGGGTTTCCTAGAGCTGTAGGAATCCGTGTGATGAGGGCGCACTGTTTGGCCCTCATGGCGCAGCCCCACACGGTTTCGGTCACTGGTGTTTCCGTCTCCAGTGGCCCCACGCCTGGAAGCAGCTTCCCCGCTCCCCCTTCACCCTGCTGCCTCGGACACACCTCGTGTGCGGGGCGGATGTAGCCAGGGCTGTGGTACATGCTTGGCAAAGTCTTGGGGCGTCTTAGACTGGGTGACCAGGAACGTGGAACCTTCCAGAACCCAGTGGGTTTGTTCCTAGTGGGCCCGCCTCCTTGTCCCAGCTCTTCACTGGGAGCCTCCTCAGGATGTGCTTGCTCAGGCTCTACTTTTAAGACGCTCTCCACGGATTGAACAGCTTAAAAGGCAGCTTACACATCCCAGCAGAAGCAGGGTGTGGGTGAAGCACCACCTTTCAGGAAAGAACCGGCCTGTGCCTGTTGCAGGGACCGCCTGGAGCAGCTGGAGAGGAAGCGGGAGCGGGAGCGCAAGCTGCGGGAGCAGCAGAAGGAGCAGCGGGAGCAGAAGGAGCGGGAGCGGCGGGCGGAGGAGCGGCGCAAGGAGCGGGAGGCCCGGCGGGAAGGTGCGGCTAACGGGGGGGAGGGAGCCCCCGAGGCCCGGGCACAGGCCGTGTCCCACGTGCAGGGAGCTGACCCCAGGGGCCCCACACGCCTGGCGCGTGACAGCGTGTCCGAGCCTGGGCCCCTGCTGCCCACAGGCGGCCGAGCACAGGCCTGAGCCCTTTCTGGTGGGGGGGGCACCTGGATCCTCGGGGGCGGCTCCTGGCCTCTGCCCTGGCTGTGTGCTGTGTTGGTGTCTGCCCTGCGCACTCCTGGGCCGTCCCTCGGCGGGGTGCGGGGTGAAGCGGGGCAGGGGGGGCCTGGTGGGGAGGAGCTGCTGCCCACGCGGTCCCTGTCCTTGCTGGTGCAGTGTCTGCGCATCACCGGGCGATGCGAGAGGACTACGGCGACAAGGGGAAGGCCAGCCACTGGAGCCGCAGCCCGCCGCGGCCGCCGCGGGAGCGGTTCGAGCTGGCAGACGGCCGGAAGCCAGGTGAGGCGGCGGTGCCTGCTGTGCCTCTGGAGGAGGGCTTTGCTGGGGACTTAAAAACATTTCCTGAACTCACCTGGGTGGTTTGCTTCGAAAGTGAAAGAAGAGAAGATGGAAGAGCGAGGAGACCTGCTGCTGGACCTACAAGACATCAGCGACAATGAGCGGAAGACCAGCTCCGCGGAGTCCTCCTCAGGTAGCCGCGCTCCTGCCGAGCCCGGGCCCGCTGCCCAGGAGGCCCCGCTCACTCTGCTGTCCGTGCCCACAGCGGAGTCAGGCTCGGGTTCTGAGGAGGAGGAGGAGGAGGAGGAGGAGGAGGAGGAAGGGAGCAGCAGTGAAGAATCAGAGGAGGAGGAGGAGGAAGAGGAGGAGGAAGAGGAAGAGGAGACTGGGAGCAACTCTGAGGACGTGTCTGGACAGTCAGCAGGTGAGCGCAGGGCACGGAGGTGTGGTTTTGTACCCATTGCCAGAGGCCTGGTCCACGAAATTCATGCATGGCTAGGGTCCCTAGGCCAGCCAGCGATCGGGCTGATTTGTGGGGTGGGGGGGGTTGGCTCTGGCACCTGCTTTGGCTGGCCTGGGCCTGCGGGCTAGCCACAGCTCCTGTGTTGAGCGTTTGCCCCCTGGTGGTTAGTGTCGGTCATAGCTACCAGTTCTACCAGTTGTTCTGCTGTTCAGTCAATTTGCATATTAGGCTTTTATCATATAGAACTTACTTATTATTCATTTGAGAGAGGATCATCAAGTTGATGTTCCTCTTATTTATGCTTATTCTTGCTTGTGTTGTGACGGGTTCGAGCCTGCAACCTTGGTGTATGGGGACAGTGCTCTGACCACTGAGCACCCGGCCAGGGCCCACAGTCGTGTGTTTGGATAGAGTTCTGGGAATGAAGAAAAATAATTAGAAGTCTAATTAGTTTTTTGGTTTTTTTTTTTTTTAAATATATTTTATTGATTTTTTTACAGAGAGGAAGAGAGAGGGATAGAGAGTTAGAAACATCGATGAGAGAGAAACATCGATCAGCTGTGTCTTGCACACCCCCCACTGGGGATGTGCCCGCAACCAAGGTACATGTCCCTGACCGGAATTGAACCTGGGACCTTTCAGTCCGCAGGCTGACACTCTGTCCGCTGAGTCAAACCGCTCTATTCACCGAGCCAAACCGGCCTTGGCTAATTAGTTTTTTAAACTTCCATTTTTCTGTTAATCCTCCCCCAAGGATATTTTTCCATTGATTTCTAGGGAGAGCAGAAAAGAGAAACATTGATGTGAGAGAAACACATCGATTGGTTGCCTCCTGCATGCCGCCCTGGGCCAGGGAACAGCCTGAAACCAACTTATGTGCCCTTGACCAGAATCGAACCCAGGACTCTTCAGTCCGCAGGCTGATGCTCTATCCACCGGCCAGGGCGAAGTCTGATTTTTTCTTAACCTTGCAAATTGAAAACATGTTGTTGTGTGGGACTTACTGAGGCCCCCGGAGGAGCAGCCCAGAGCCTGCGGGTGGCGCTCCCGGGGGACACGGTGCACGCTGCTCTCTTGCAGAGGAGGTGAGTGAGGACGAGATGAGCGACGACGAAGAGCGAGAAGCCGAGAACCACATCCTCGTGGGTAAGAGGCCAACCTGCTGCCGTTCCTCTGGCTCCTCCGTCCCCACTCGCAGGGAGGCCGTCTCGAAGCCGTGAGCCTGTGTATGGCGCTCTGTTCAATAACCCTTCTCGAGGCCGGCGGGCCCCGGCGCCCACGGGCGTTCCTGTCCTGGCCTTGTCCCGGGCGGGGCTGCCTGCTGAGACGGGCCCACGCAGCCCACACTGCCTGTAGGGACAGCGCTAGCAGAGTGCCGCTGGGCTGGACAGCAGGACGCGGGCACTGCCAGCCCGGCCCGGCCTCAGCGTGGGGGAGCAAGGGGAACAGCTCAGGGCTGACAGCAAGGCCACATGGGCCGGCATGGCCTGCAGGCAGCTAAGCTGAGCCCGTGGGCCTGGCAAGTTCCAAGGGTGCCTCCTCAGAGCACAGCATCTAGTCAGTGGCTCACAGTGGCCGTGGCCCAGCTGGAGGCCCCAAGGCCCAGGTGCCCTCAGTCCAGGGAAGCAGCTCTCGTGTGGCAGGCACCCGGGCCGCTGCCATGTGGCTTCTTGGTGTGTGTGTGTGTGTGTGTGTGTGTGTGTCCAGACCAGGAAGGGGCTGTGACGGCCTCATTCCTGGTTCCATGATCATTATACTTGGCAGTTCCAGAGTCACGATTTGACCGAGATTCTGGGGACAGTGAAGAAGGGGAAGAAGAGGTGGGCGAGGGCACCCCCCACAGCACTGCGCTGACGGAAGGCGAGTTCGTGCCCAACTCCCCAGCCCTGTCGCCCATCGAGCTCAAGCAGGAGCTGCCCAAGTACCTGCCCGCCCTGCAGGTCAGGCGCCCCACGCCGGCCCCTTCGCTGGTCCTGAGGGCCGGGGGGGCAGGGAGCAGAGCCAGGGCCGGGTGGGGTGGTCCTGAGTGCAGTGACCGTCACTGCTGGGCTCGGCCACCGGCCTCCTTTGTGCTCTGGTCGTCGTCTGGCTTGTCCACAGCACCGCTGCCAGGCTCCGCCCAGAGCCGGGGCCGTGGGGTGGCAGGCAGTGGGTGAGGCTGGCTCCAGGGTCACCTGCCAGGGCCTTGCCCAGTGTGTGAGGGATGGTGGGGCCATGGCAGGAGGCGGCGTGCGCTTCTGTGGGGAAATTCCAGTAATGGGGGCTCCAGGGAGGCTCCGGAGGAGCAGTCCCCAGGGGGCGAGAGGCAACACCACTGAGGCCTCGCCGCTTGGGGTCTGGGGGTGGGGGGTTCTCTGGGCCGTCGGCCAGCCCAGCTTCCTTGGCGGCTCTGCTGATGGGCTTCTGAGCCGTGGTGGCCACGCGTGACGGGACAGCGCCAACCTGCACCCAAGGGGGCTCCTCCGACCCAGCGGAGCCCGTGCAGGGGAGGCGGGGCGGGTGGGGCCCGTGCTCCTGTCCTTTCCCCAACCCCCGACTCCCTTCCCCCGTGTCGGGTGTCCTCCCCACGGCTGCCACTCCTCACGCCAGTGCCTCCCTCAGGGCTGTCGCAGTGTGGAGGAGTTCCAGTGCCTGAACAGGATTGAGGAGGGCACCTACGGGGTGGTGTACAGAGCCAAGGACAAGAAGACAGGTGGGGAGGCTGTCATGGCCCCAAGGGGAAGGGGAGACGGGCAGGGAGGGGGTTGCCCTGCACAGCCCAGGCGGCCTCCATGCTGCTCTGAGGGAGGTGGGGCCACGGGCAGGAGCGGGGAGGTGCGCCCGGGCCCCTGGCCTTCAGCTTCAGGGTCATGGATACACAGTCCCTGCGATCCCGGGAGTGCCCCTTGCCTGGCCTGCACTGGGCATGACTCCCAGGTGACACTCGGAGCAGCTGAACCCTAGGGTGGCCTGGCCGGGAGACTGTCCTGTTTGGTGGTGACAGCAGGTGAGGGCTCCACAGGGAGGGTGCACCAGCCTTGAGTGACGGTGTGGGCGTGGCCGGGCCCAGTATTGGCCGGTCTCGGAAGGGCAGAGGGCATCTGAGCCGAGACCCTGGTGAATGCTTGAGGTGGGGTGTCGGAGTCGGCTCTGTGCCAGGGTCCCAGCAGGTGCCGAGGAGACTGGTCTGGAATGTGCGTGTTCCGTGCGGCACAGCGGGGGCCTCCTGGCGCCCACAGGTGTGAGCTGCTGTTAAAGCATCACTGAGCCTGGGAAGGTGTCAGCACCGTCTGCGCTGTTTCCAGATGAGATTGTGGCTCTGAAGCGGCTGAAGATGGAGAAGGAGAAGGAGGGCTTCCCCATCACGTCGCTGAGGGAGATCAACACCATCCTCAAGGCGCAGCACCCCAACATCGTGACCGTCCGGGTAGGCAGCCACCGTGCCTGCGGGCGCTCCCCGCCCTCCCAGCGGGTCCAGCCCTCACTAGGGCCAGCCCTGGGGTTCAGCTTTCGGGGCAGCTGGTGGTCAGGTCAGGGGCCCAGGGGCCACCAGCCTGGTCTCGTTTCCTAGGCCGTGGTCAGCAAACTGAGGCTCGAGAGCCACATGCGGCTCTTTGGCCCCTTGAGTGTGGCCTTTCCAAAAAGTACCAGGTGGGGGCGTGCCCGTACAGTGCGATTGAAACTCCGTGGCCCACGCGCAGTCGGCTTTCTGCGCAGAAGGGATTTCAGGCGTGTGCTGGGGATGTGGGGCTCTGTGGGCTGATGAGTCTGCCGGCCTCGGCCCCAGGAGATCGTCGTGGGCAGCAACATGGACAAGATCTACATCGTGATGAACTACGTGGAGCACGACCTCAAGAGCCTGATGGAGACCATGAAGCAGCCGTTCCTGCCGGGCGAGGTGAAGACGCTCATGATCCAGCTGCTGTGCGGCGTGAAGCACCTGCACGACAACTGGATCCTGCACCGCGACCTCAAGACCTCCAACCTGCTGCTGAGCCACGCCGGCATCCTCAAGGTGAGCGCCACCCCAGCGCCTGCCACCCCAGCGCCCGCGGCCCCCAGCACCCAACCCACGGCCCCCGGCACCCAACCCACAGCCCCCGGCGCCCCCAGCCCCCAGCACCCACAGCCCCCGGCACCCACAGCCCCCAGCACCCACAGCCCCCAGCACCCACAGGCCCCGGTGCCCACAGCCCCAGCACCCAACCCACGGCCCCCGGCACCCAACCCACAGCCCCCGGCGCCCCCAGCCCCCAGCACCCACAGCCCCCGGCACCCACAGCCCCCAGCACCCACAGCCCCCGGCACCCACAGGCCCCGGCACCCGCAGCCCCAGCACCCAACCCACAGCCCCCGGCACCCACGGCCCCCAGCACCCACAGCCCCCAGCACCCACAGGCCCCGGCGCCCGCAGCCCCAGCACCCACACCCCCGGCACCCGCGGCCCCGCTGTCCTTGCAGGTGGGCGACTTCGGGCTGGCCCGCGAGTACGGGTCCCCGCTGAAGGCCTACACCCCCGTCGTCGTCACCCTGTGGTACCGCGCCCCGGAGCTGCTGCTGGGGGCCAAGGTGCGTGCTGGGCTGGTGCCCCCTCCTGCCCCCCTCCCCCCCCGTGTCCCGCTGGCCCCTGAGCGTGTCCCGTCCCCAGGAGTACTCCACGGCCGTGGACATGTGGTCCGTGGGCTGCATCTTCGGGGAGCTGCTGACACAGAAGCCCCTGTTCCCCGGGAAGTCGGAGATCGACCAGATCAACAAAGTGTTCAAGGTGGGTCAGGGGTCAGGGCGCCAGGCGGGGGACGGGGGGGCAGGGTGCTGCCGGCACGGCCGTTCTGAGACGCCCTCTCAGGACCTGGGGACGCCCAGGGGGTCGGGGCACCGTGCAGGGCGGGGCTGGCGGGGGACGGGGGGGCAGGGTGCTGCCGGCATGGCCGTTCTGAGACGCCCTCTCAGGACCTGGGGACGCCCAGTGAGAAGATCTGGCCCGGCTACAACGAGCTGCCGGCCGTGAAGAAGATGACCTTCACCGAGTACCCCTACAACAACCTGCGCAAGCGCTTTGGGGCGCTGCTCTCCGACCAGGGCTTCGACCTCATGAACAAGTGAGCCCTGTGGGGCCAGGGGGGGGGTGGGCGGGGGGCGGGGGCCTTCCCCGGCCCCTCCCGGGCTCCACGTGCCTGTTCTCCAGGTTCCTGACCTACTTTCCCGGGCGGAGGGTCAGCGCCGAGGACGGCCTCAAGCACGAGTACTTCCGAGAGACGCCCCTCCCCATCGACCCCTCCATGTTCCCCACGTGGCCCGCCAAGAGCGAGCAGCAGAGGGTGAAGCGAGGCACCAGCCCGAGACCCCCCGAGGGCGGCCTCGGCTACAGCCAGCTGGTGAGGGCCCTGTGGGGGGGGGTCCCGAGGGCGGCCTCGGCTACAGCCAGCTGGTGAGGGCCCTGTGGGGGGGGGGCCCCGAGGGCGGCCTGGGCTACAGCCAGCTGGTGAGGGCCCTGTGGGTGGGGGACGGGGGAATGGGGACCCCGAGGGCGGCCTCGGCTACAGCCAGCTGGTGAGGGCCGTGGGGGGGACGGGGACGGGGGAATGGGGGCCCCGAGGGTGGCCTTGGCTACAGCCAGCTGGTGAGGGCCCTGTGGGCCGTGTGGGCGGGGGAATGGGGGACGGGGACGGGGGGCCCCGAGGGCGGCCTCGGCTACAGCCAGCTGGTGAGGGCCCTGTGGGGGGGGGCCCCGAGGGCGGCCTCGGCTACAGCCAGCTGGTGAGGGCCCTGTGGGCGGGGGACCGGGGACGGGGAATGGGGGCCCCGAGGGCGGCCTCGGCTACAGCCAGCTGGTGAGGGCCCTGTGGGCGGGGGACCGGGGACGGGGACGGGGACAGGGGGCCCCGAGGGCGGCCTCGGCTACAGCCAGCTGGTGAGGGCCCTGTGGGCCGTGTGGGCGGGGGACGGGGGAATGGGGGCCCCGAGGGCGGCCTCGGCTACAGCCAGCTGGTGAGGGCCCTGTGGGCGGGGGTCCCGGGGTTCGCCGGCCCGGCCAGCTGGTGAGGGCCGTGTGTGTGGGGGTCCCGGGGTTCGCCGGCCTGGCCCCAGCCCCGACCCCGGCCCCACGGTGCTGCTGCTCCCCAGGGTGACGACGATCTGAAGGAGACGGGCTTCCACCTCACCACCACCAACCAGGGGGCCTCGGCCGCAGGCCCTGGCTTCAGCCTCAAGTTCTGAGGCTCAGAGTGGACCCCAGACCGACAGCGGGACCAGCGGCAGGAGTGGGGGCGGCTGTGAGGCAGCCTGTGGGTCAGGCCGGGTCCTGCCCAGATGACGCCGCGGGGAAGTGGCCTCAAGGCGACTGCTGGCCCCGTTTTCCACGTTTCGTCTTGGCTTGTAAATTTGTAGAATTAAATCTATTTCCTTGTGGAAGAAAAGGCTTTTTCAGATTTGTCACCCTTGGCACAGGAGGGGGAGCCAGTGCAGCGGGCACACACTCACACACGTGCTGCCAGATCCTGGCTGTGATTTCAGTCTTGAGGCTCCTGTGTGGGTGCCTCCTGCCCTCGTGCAGGGCACACAGCCTTTCGTACGTAGGAGGTGGTCACACCTTAAAGATTCGGTGAAATGGAAGCGCTGCTGTGTCTGTCCTTCCTGGGCTGGCCCTGGGCCGGCCGGCCTCTCCCTGCCTCCAGCTCCTGCTCTAACTGGACTGGGCCGGGGTGTCGTGCTCCCCACATCCCGCGGGGCTGGGTCGGCACGGCCCCGCCCCCAAGAAAGGGCGCGGAGACTCGGGGAGAAAGCCTTTATCGGGGCTCAGGGGCGCACGCGCACGCGCACGCGCCAGGAGTAGGTGCTGAGCACGCGCTGCCGCCGGCGCACCACGCAGGTGTAGGTGCCCTCGTTGATGGCGTTGGCGATGATGCTCAGGTGCGCCTCGCCCAGTGCCAGGTACCCGGGGTAGGAGGACTCCAGCGGCTCCTGGTCCTTGTACCAGCTGCGGGGGACAGGGCGTGGCGCTGAGTGGGGAACCCCGGCCGCCACCCCTCGCCCCGGCCGGCACTCACTGCACTTTGCCTTTCTTGTGCAGGATCTTCTGGCCGCAACGGAAGGTCACGTTCCTGCCCTCCGACACCAGGCGGGTTTTGGTCCTGGGGGGCGGCAGGGTGGCGGCCACCGTGGGGAAGGGGAACTCTGTGCGGGAGGGAGGGAGGGAGGTCAGGAGGGAGGGCCCCGCCCCGCCCCGCCCCGCCCCGCCGGCGGGACCGCCGCACCCACCGTAACAGAAGTCGCAGCTGCTGGGGCACAGCCTCTTCATGAGCCTCCGGCGGGCGTCGCAGAAGCCCCTCCGCGCCCAGGACGCGCACACGAACAGCCGGTCCAGGCAGCCTGGAGGGGGGCGGCCCGGCCTCAGCGCCTGCCCCGGCGCCGCCCCCCGCCCCGCAGGCACCCACCGTAGAGCCGGTGCAGCCCCCACAGCTCGTCCTGCGACAGCGCCTTCCAGCCGCGCAGCGTGGCGTTGAGGTGCATGAGCGCGCGGCCGTGCTGCGAGTGCATCAGGCCCAGCGCGTGGCCGATCTCGTGCGCCGCCACGTGAACCAGGTCCGTCAGCCACACGCCTGCGGGCCCCGCGGTCAGCGCAGGCCCCGCCGCCCGCCCGCCCGCCCGCCCCCTCCGGCGCCGCCTCTGCAGGCCGCGGCCTCGGGCGATAAGAGGTTCCCGGCGGGCGGTGAGCTCACCGGGAATGCAGCTCCACTCGGCGCGGGATGAGGGCCTCCTGGGACTCAGGCCTGTGGCCTCAGCCGCCCCCTCCCTGCCTGCATCACCCCAAGTCCCAGCCCCGCTCCCAGCCCTCCGCCGGGACCCCGGGGCGCGGAGGGTCCCCCGGAGCTCGTAGGGACCCCGGGGCGCGGAGGGTCCCCCGGAGCTCGTAGGGACCCCGGGGCGCGGAGGGTCCCCCGGGCCGGCCGTCACCTTTCTTCCAGCTGTAGCGCGTGGGGCCCAGGATCCAGTACTCGCTGTCGTCGAAGTGGATGCCGCCGTGCGGGGGGAAGAAGGCGTGGGCCAGCTCGCCCGTGGGGCCGTCGAAGCAGTGGTGAAGCGCGGACACCAGGCAGTCCGTGTGGTTGGCGGGGTAGAAGCCTGCGGAGCGCGGGCTGAGGGGCGGCGGGGGGAGCGCGGGGCGGGGGAGCGCGGGGCAGAGGCTGGGGGGCATGGGCGAGGGCGCGGCGCTCACCGATCCGCAGGTCGCTGGGCTGCTCGGGGCCCACCTCGCGGAAGCTGAAGGGGGACACGTCGCTCCACATGCGGAAGGCGGCGGCCAGGCCGCGCCGGGTCTCGCTGGGGCTCAGCAGGTTCCGCGGGAAGGAGAGGATCCTGGGGCGGGGGCGGGGGCGGGGGCGGGGGCAGGGTCAGGGGTGGACGGGGCTGCCGCCAGGCCCCCTCCAGGCCCGGGCCGCACCTGTACGTGAGGTTGAAGTGGTCCCAGCGCAGCCGGGCGGGCGTCAGCGTGTAGCGGCGTCTGCGGGGCGCCGGGGCGGGCGGCGGGCCGGGCCCCGGGGAGCCGCGGGCACCCGCGCGGAGGGTCGCGGCGTCTTCCTTCAAGGGAAGCGAGTGCCCTGAGGAGGCGGCCGCGGCGCCCGATCCCAAACTCGGGGAAGAGACGGGGCGGAGGCGGTGGTAGCGCTGCCTGTTCCCACCCCACGCGCCCCTGCAGCCGGAGGGAGAGGGTGAGAGGACCCGCCGGCCGGCGTGGGCGGGGCTGGAGGGTGCTGCCTCCCACCCGCGGGCGCCGTGGGCGCCGGGGGGACTCACCTGCGGGGCGGGCCGGGCGGCCGGCGGGGCCCCGGGCCGGGCCAGCAGCAGGAGCGCGGGCAGCAGGCACAGGGCGCCCAGCGCGGCCCCCCGCCAGCCGGCCGGAGCGCGCGGCCCCGACGCCGCCCAGGGGACGCGGGCCCCGCGGGCCATGGCGCCGGCGGACTTGCTGCGGGGGCTCCGGGCGCGGGGGCTGCGGGGCCGCAGGCGCGCGAGGAGCCGGGGGAGGCGCCCAGGCGGCTCGGGTTACAGCCCGGGGCGGGGGCGGAGGCGGGGGCGGCCGCCCTGAAGGGAACCAGCTGGCCGTCCCACCGCTGGCGCCCGACCCCGCCAGCCTGCGGGCCGGTGGCCGGGGTCGGCAGGGCCGCCGGGGCGGGGTGCTGTGTGGGGGACGCGGGGCGGTGCCGGCGGTCAGGAAGGGACCGGCGCCGGGGGCTCGGCAGAAGGCAGGGACAGGGACGGGCAGTTGGGACCCAAAGGGTCGGGGCTGAGTGACCGGAGGCTTTTTCTCCAATGGGACCCCCCCACCCCCCTGGACACCGGATGAGACCTGGAGGGGAACCTCCGCCGGGCCGGCCCAGGACACGGCCGCCGGCGCGGGCCGGGCAGGGTCCCCGCGCGAGGGGCGGGGACAGGCGGGAGGGACGTGGCAGTGAGTCCGGCGCCGAGGGGGGAGAGGCGGGTGGTGCCTGGGGGTGGCGCCAGGAGTGGGGGGGGGGGGTGCAGAGCCCCCGGGAGCTGGAAGCGGCCCGCCGGGGTACCCCATGGAGACGGGGTTCGGCGCCCCGGGGCAGGGGCTGGGGAGCCAGGAACCCCCCATTGGGCTCTCATCCAGCGGAGCCAGGCGCAGGGCCCCGTTCGGAGGGTCCTGGGTGGGGGGTGGGAGACGCGGTCTTGAGACCGGAAAACTCGACGGGGCCTTCAGGGTGAGCCGGGTGAGGCCGGCCAGGCAGGGTGCTGGCAAGGGTGCCATGGGCCGGGAGACGAAGACAAGGAGGAGAGGCTGGGAGACGGAGGGGCTGTCGGTGGCAGAATGGGGGGAGGATTGGGCCAGACGAGGCCGAGGGTCCGGGCCTGGCCTGGAGCCCAGAGTGACAGGCGCGCGGGCCAGCGGGGTCAGCGCCAAGGGCCTGGCAGCAGCCGCCAGGCTCCGGGGGAGCGGCGGGTGGTTCTTGGAAAGCGCTGCCGCCGGCCCGGCTGGAGCTGCGCCCCCTCCGCGTGGCTAAATGTTCGCCCAACAAAGTGCCCTCCCGTCCCGCGCCCGCTCCTCTTCCCGGACCCTGCGCCCCCTCCCCCTCCCCGCCCCAATCCCGCCGGAACTCAGCCAGAAGCTTCCGCGAGGCCTGCGCCGTCCCCAGGGCCCGCCCGGGAGATAGGGAGGGAGGGGCCGGGGGTCGCAGGAGGCTGCCGGGCCTGGAGGACCTCTGCCCGGGGCTGGCTTCTGGGCCCAGAGCCGGGACAGCGGACACGGGGCGGGACTCTGGCAGAAGCGCGGCCACAGCTGGGCGCGGGCGGAGGGGCCAGGCGGCGCGGGCGGGACCGCTGGTTTCTGTCCGGGAAGAACCGGAACCGCCCGCGCCCCCCCAGACAGGCACCAGGCGGCGAAGTTCGTGAATCTTTTTATAAAACACGGGCGGGCGGGGGCTCGGGGCGGCGGTGGATGGTAGACGGTGGACGGCAGGGCGCGGCTATACGAAGATCTGGATGCGGTCGCGGATGGGCTGGCGGCAGATGGGGCAGGCGCTGAGCGCAGCGCCGCAGGGCGCGCAGGCGCCGTGGCCGCACTGGAACACGAGGCGGATGTGGCTGTCGATGCAGATGGGGCAGGTGATGCGCTCCTCCATCTGCCGGTAGCGGCTCTGCAGCTCCTCCACCAGCTGCCGCGGCGGGCCGGGCGCGGGGGCCGTGCCGGCCACCTCCGTGCCGTCTGCGGCGGGATTAGGCGCGGCCATGGGGTTAGAGCCGGCGGCGGGGGGAGAGGAGGGCAACCCAGTCAGCTCCTCCCGCCCGAGCCCACCCACCTGGCAGCAGCTTCTTGCTGATGGGCACCTGGCACCTGATGCACTTCTTCATCCTGCGCGCGCATTCTGTGGGGGAGGGGCGCTGTTGGGTGGGGCCGCACTCCCGCTCCTCCCCCTCCTCCTGCTCCCACCCGCGCCCCGCACTTACCCTCGCACACCGTGCGGTGCTGGCACGGCGAGAACAGCACCAGCAGCGCCAGCTCAGAGCACACCAGGCATTCGGCCGCCTCCGGCCCCGCAGGCAGGGCCGCGTGCAGGTTGGACGTGGTGCTGGGGGTGCTGAGCAGCAGCCTGGGGTCTGGGGCCGCGCCCCCGCCCGCCTGCCGCTCCCTGCAGGTGGAGGAGGGGGGCTTGACAGGGCCGCTGGGGTGCCGCCCCTGCCACGCCCACCACGCCCCACCGGCTCACCGGAAGCGCTGGGCACAGCCCTGGAGGGCCTTGAGGACTCGGCCCTCCACAGCCAAGTCCAGCGGGGAGCGGCCGCGGTGGTTGGTGTAGTTCACGTCCGCGCCCTCCAGCACCAGGAAGCAAGCGATGGCGGCGCCCACCGTCAGTTCTGCGCTGGCAGGGAGGCCCGAGGCCTGCAGCTGGGGGCAG